TAGAAATGGAATATGAAATGCTTCATACGTAAAAAAAAATTTCATATCATGATGTTCTAAAGAAAAACTTATTGAACAGTATATTCGGTGCGAAAATATGTTGCATTTTATTTTGATAATTTTGTATAAATAAATAAATATTTAACCCTGCAAAATCAGTAATATGATTTTGATTAACATTTGTCACTTGTAATGAAATGTGCCGAAAATAATATTAAAATAAAATAAAAATCAAGGAAAATAATTATTAACAACTATAGCAACTCACGAAAGTTTAGATGGATAAATTAATTACGATATTGATAAATTAACGTAACGACTGCTGTTGGATAAGCTTGGGCAGGTATAAAAAGGTTTTGTTGTGAGAGAGATAAGAATTTATGAAGATTCAAAAGACTGATTACAAACTCATGTNGAATGCTTGTAGAAGTTTATGGTGACAATGCTCCAACTGATAAATCATGCAGGGAATGGTTTCGACGTTTCAAGAATAGTGAATGATGAATGATGTTGTATACTATGAGCGGCTACAACCTGGCGATTCCATTACGGGAGATTAGTATAGGCTACTATTGATTCGTTTGAGCCGTGCATTGGTAGAAAAACGGCCGGAATAGGAGCAAAGACATGGCAAAGTTATTCTTCTGCATGATAACGGTCGGACTCATGTCGGACAAGTCGTAAAAAATATTTGGAAACGCTCAAGTGGGATATTTTACCGCACCCGCCGTATTCGTCGTATTGCTCTTTAGTATTAGTGGTTGTTCCGATAGTTGCAGCACGATTTGGCAGGTCAGCGATTCACTTCTTTCGCAGAAATCGAAAATTGGCTCCTTACTTGGATCGCCTCAAAAGACAAGACATTTTCTCGAGATGGAATTCGAAAATTGCCTGAGAGGTGGGAAAAAGAAGTAGCCAGCGATGGACAGTACTTTGATTAATTTGTTCACTCATTTTGTTCTGAAATAACTGCATTTTTGACCACAAAAAAACCGACCGAACTAATTTGCACTCCCAATATGTACCTAATATTATTGATATTATGCATGGATTCATTATGATTTTTTTTTTTTCAAAGTAACACTTAGCGTTACATTTTTCTACGATATGGCAAACAACAAAATTTCGTAACTAGTGACAGTTAAGGAAAACAAACAACTTTTTTTAACAGATTATTACCTAAATTCTTAAAAACCTAATTTTGACTTGTTGACTTGTTGAAACCTAATTTTGACTAATTTGTAATAATTATGGATAAATCATAATAGTTTACCCTCTTCCGTCTTGCTGAGGTACTTAAATATTAACTAATGAGCTTTTAATTATTTCCTAACCAACAAATCTGTGATAAAAATATTTTTTTTAAATAAACGACATAGTTTTAAAGTAAATTGTAAAGGAAATATCATACTTGAAAATGGTAGAGAGCCTGATAATACCAGCTTTTACTCGTTTCTAGAAAAATAAATGAAAAGTATTAAAGAACAATATGTTATATTTATGAAGAAAATGTAACACTATTATGTCAGATATTATATATTAATTATATATGCTACCATACAGAGCAATATAATTATAAACAAATTAGGAAGTTTACATACGAAATTGTACTTTTGTCTCATAAAATTTTGTAACTTAGAGTTAATTCTATCGACTTTATTTTGGTTTCATTCAGTTTACTGCGGGAAAAAAAACAAAGGAAATTATATCTCACTTGCGTAGACAACAATATCAGATTCATAAATAGGTATTAGAACAAAATTGAATTTTTTTTAAAGGAAACAGTAATAAATTTTAAATTAGTAATTCTATCGCCGAGTTAGGAGTAATTTTCATTTAATTCTGCGTTTAAAAAGAAGAAAAGAAAAAAACGTCATCGGAAATCATATCTAATTTGACTAGATAGTAATATTCAAGTCAATTCCTAATTTTATGACCTGTACTTAGAAATGGAATATGAAATGCTTCATGCGTAAAAAAAATTTTCATATCATGATGTTCTTAAGAAAAACTTATTGAACAGTATATTCGGTGCGAAAATATGTTGCATTTTATTTTGATAATTTTGTATAAATAAATAAATATTTAACCCTGCAAAATCAGTAATATGATTTTGATTAACATTTGTCACTTGTAATGAAATATGCCGAAAATAATATTAAAATAAAATAAAATAAAAATCAAGGAAAATATTTATTAACAACTATAGCAACTCACGAAAGTTTAGCTGGATAAATTAATTACAATATTGATAAATTAACGTAACGACTGCTGTTGGATAAGCTTGGGCAGGTATAAAAAGGTTTTGTTGTGAGAGAGCTAAGAATTTATGAAGATTCAAAAGACTGATTACAAACTCATGTTTCGCAAAAACCTGAAACAAAAAAGAAGAAAAAATTGAAAAAGAAGTCGAATTTTTCATACACAGGGTGCTTATATTCATTGCTCTTACGATGTACTTTTTTTTTTATCTTAATCAAAAGTGAAAAAAAAAATTGTTCAAGGTAGTGATCGCTTACTGATTTTCAAGTGAGAGAAAATATAAATACCTATCTCGAATCACTCAAATCACTCGTGGAAAGGACAAGATAAAAATCATTAAAACCAGCTTGATTGCCTGACAGAGCTTAGATATATTTCTAAATTCGTTTATCACCACTTGTCTACTACCTTATGCAATGAAACAGGTTTCAAAGTTTTTATTCAAGCCCTGGTCAGTAATATTTAGTTTAGAAATAACGGAAAACAATAAGCCGATAAGAATAAGCAATAAGCATACAAACAATGACAAAAAAATATATTCCTTAATAGATATGATTGAAATATTTCTAAAAATAAAGTATAAAACAAATATTTCAGTAAATTAAAATAAAAAACTGAGGAAAAGAACTATTGAAAATGCGAGAGTAAAAGCAACTAAACCTGTTTGATTACCTGTGGATATAGAAAAGAGAAGACGATTGTTAAATGCCAATTTTAACCGGGCAATTAAACTGATTTTTATGCTCTTCATTCCGTTTTCCTCACTAGTGATTTTGGGTTTGTAAAGATTTTGAAAATACTGGTATATTTCATTAGGTATATGAAACTAATCAGATCTGACAGTAACTATTAAGGCTATCCAGCCGACATTCTTTCGGTATCTCCTTTGCCTAGTATGCCAAGTAATCTCAGCCACCAATTGGTTTTCAACCAATTGGTCACCAATTGGTTGAAAAAGTGAGGTGCCTGCTTCTCGGGTAGGTACTTTGTATAATTTCCTATCAAGTCGAGTGAATTAGGTATATGGAAAAATATTTGCACACATACGTAAGTGGAATTAATAGGTAGCAATATTGTTTGATAAGTACATAACTATCAACATCCTTGGTTCTTTCCTCTAAACTCTTATAAATACATATGATTAAGAAGAAAAATATTGAAATAAAGCGAAATCAAAAAATTAAATTAACAATAGCAATGAATAGATTGGATTAATTTTTATAATAAATATATGAATAATATATAATAATAATAAAATAATTATAATAATAATATATAACAAATATAATAGTAAATAGATTAATTGTCAATAGCAGAATAAATTTTATTTTAAAATTATTTCCTCCATAGGTGGTTATGCATTAAATATTATACATGCCGAATACACTTTCAGTATAAAACTCTCGCAGTAGCTTTGTTACTTAAAAAAAAAAAAAGAAAAAAACTCTTGAATTCCAGTTAATTTTTAAAAATATGTGTTATATACTTTTGAATGAAGCTAATTATTGAATATATAGATAATATTTCAGTATATTATTGGAAAAGAAATGTAATTTATTGATTTCGTAGTATAATTAATAAAAGAAATATCTATTTCGTGTTCAGTGTTCTTATATGGTTATTTATACCATCCGAAATTGTGATGCCCACTTCCTGAATTTAGACATAGATCTGAAGGGGAAGGAAATTTTCCCCAGATCCCTGTACCCATAGTACTGCTCAGTGACCGACCATAAAATTTTTTATTCCGCAGATTTCACGAGCACGTAAATCGCTTGTACGCGGTGGGTCTCATCGGAGTTGAGGATCGAACCCCGGCTCTATCTCCATTTTGGTCCCGCAGTGGACTGATCGTTAATACACGGTTCCCAGCAGATCACCGAAGTCAAGCATCACTGGCTACGGTCAGTGTGCGGGTGGGTGACCACTTGGATCAGTCTGCGTAGGGACCGAGGGTGTGCGGTATTGGTCCTCGTTAAACTGTGCTACCGTAAAGTGCTCGACTTCGCGCGCAGGTCGTCGGGNAAATCAATTATTAATCAAAAATCGAATATCAATTACTTTTCTTTATAATGCAATAAAATCTGGCGAGCAGCTATTTAAACGATCAAACACTTCGTTTGTTTATTTGTGGCTTGAAGCTAGGCTCGCAGAAAATACCGTTCATGGGTTAAATTTAGTAGGAATAACACAACCTGTGACGTAGGCTATAGTATACCCAATTATTGAATATACAGTTGTTGTTGTTGTTGTTATTAATTTACGTCGCACTAGAGCTGCACAATGGGCTATTGGTTGAATATACAGATAATATTTAAATATATTATTGAAAAAGAAATGTAATTTATTGATTTCGTAGTAAAATTAATAAAAGAAATATCTATTTCGTGTTCAGTGTTCTTATATGGTTATTTATACCATCCCAAATTGTGATGCCCTCTTCCTGAATTTAGACATAGATCTGAAGGGGAAGGAAATTTTCCCCAGATCCCTGTTCCCATAGTACTGCTCAGTGACCGACCATAAAATTCTTGATTCCGCAGATTTCACGAGCACGTAAATCGCTTGTACGCGGTGGGTCTTATCGGAGTTGAGGATCGAACCCCGGCTCTATCTCCATTTGGATTGCCTTGATCCAATTTGAGTCTGGTAGCTAGAGATGCGGGAATCAGAAGCAGCGGGAATAGTCACTTAAAATTCTTTGCGTAGGTTTTAAGATTCGTTACAAATACTAGAATCAGTTATTAAATCGTTAGCGCTGTTGTGTGCGATCGCAAATGCTGCTTTGTTGTTTGGGTGTGTTTCTTTCATAAATGTGTAAACTTCACTTACAAAATTTCATATGTGTTAATTAGTAATTGTTTTTATTGTGTGTATCTGTGGGTGACATTTGGTATGTTTGTTTTTGTGATTTTTGATCACAGCTATTTTTTTTCCATTTTACTTTAGAAAATTTAAAACATTTAGCGGCTTTTTCGATGTTTGAATTTTTAAATGGAATTTTTGTCTGATTCTTAGAATTTTCTCTAGGTTAATTTTGATCATCTTTTACAATTATAAATAAATACGTTTTAATTTATATGAATAAAAATAGGATATATTAAAAGAAATTACACCTTAAATTTCTCCCGAAAGTTGTTGCTTGCGGTTTTAATTAACGTTACTATCAGTTTTTTAATGATTTGTTCTTTAGATATTTCTTGCGGAAGTCCGTAACTTCTACTAATTTTGTTAAGTAAAATTTTTGTTTATAAGGATCGTTTGAAGTTCCTATTTCTTTTAGTTGATGAGTCATTGAGATGTAGACAGTCTGTCTACTTATCGTCATCTAATTCACTCATCCTTTTATTAATTAAATTATTATCTATTAAACATCTATCTTCGTAAGTTATTATATTTTAAACCTTGATTAATTTATGTTTGGCTCTACTTTTCTAAATGCTTCTTTATTTATCGTATTTTTCAGTAGGTGTTCTTTTTTTGTTTTGTTTTTGCCTGAAGTGTTTCTTTATGAATCAGTTGCTTTCAAAACTTTATTGAAGGAAATTAAGTAAACTTTAATATCGGTTAAAGTATCGCTAATTATTGCAATTTATCCATTAATTTTTCGCTTATTTTATGTAGAATTTTGTAATTTTCGAAACACATTTTACTGTAAAAAATTTTAAGTTCACCATTGTGCCTTAGTTGATTTCTATAGTAAAAAATTAAATTATTTTATGTTATAAAAAGTTGGAAAATTTTTTGTAACTTCATAACCTGTCTGTCTTTGTACATTGACAAAATTGTATCTAGGGCTTATAGACAAACTCAGTTATAGGGACAAACTCAGTTTTTGCACCTCATCCAATTAAGGTGTGAGACTTATAGGAGCCTTTTCCGGACTACTTTAAAACCCACCGCACTTAGCATTGGATTGTTTAATTTTACATAAATTAAGATAATTTAAGATCATTTCATTCATTTTAAAATTATGCAGTATATGTTACTAATGTAGTTAATTTCCTATTCCACTTGGATGTTCTTGTTTGTTATATTGAATAACAGGCATTTATTCTAAGGTTATTTTCATGCAATATATTCCAAATTTGTTATAAATGTTTTTTTTTTTAAAAATGGAATCAGATAAAGGAAACTAAATTAATTTAATACATCAATCCTGTTCAATTTATCGGTAAATCTGCTAAAATTTGAAAAAAATTATTTTGCCCTTAATATACAAATGAAACTGTTAATATTTGAAGAAGAAAAGCAGTTTATTCACAATATTTAACAGTTTATTCAGAATACCCTCTGCTAACTACACAATTGTATGTTGACTGCAAAAATAATTCAAACTTGTCCAGGGATAATTATTAAATGGTATTCTATACCTTTTATAAGTTGACTGGTAAAAAGAATTTCTAGGAAAAATTCTTTACAATTACATTATTAAATTTAATTGAATTAGTTAAACACTGTATTATAAAGCTATCCTAAATCCAGGGTTGTTAAGGACCCTGGTTTTTTCAGAAAAAAAAAACCCAACTCACTGTTTTTTTTCTTTTTTTTAGGGTTTTATTGGGTTTTTTCATGATTTTATTGGTTTTTTTCAAACTTAATTGAATTTTTTATCTTTTTTTTTTATACTTTATGGTCTTAGAGTAAATATTGCAGCATTAATAAATACCACTAATTTTATCAATAATTATTAATATATTTTATAGTTTAAGTCATTTACATTGATAAATTAGTAATAATATTTCGAATGATAGTAGGTGTGCAGTTACCTTTGTAGAATTTATCTAGTCTGTTTTAGAATAGATTTATAAAAAGAAAAAAAAAGGAATGTTTAAGTGAAGAAATTATTTATTTTAATTCAAGTAAAAGTCATGAATTTTCGAAGTAAATTTTTTACTTGAAAAATGTATTCATGCAATAGTGCATTGCATGACTTTTTCAACAGTGTTATTGTGTCTTACTCTATGTATAATAAAAGAGAGCTTCTAGAACAGTGGTCCCCAATCTTTAGTGGTTCACCGACCCCCTACTTGAAGTTGATCAACACCTAATGCCCCCTTTCTCTTTTTATTAAAAAAAACAAACATACATTCTCTCTAATGAGTGTCAATAAAACTGAAAATAGACTAAATTATACCTGAATCAATTTAAAGTAAAATTTAAATAATGAAGCAATTTTGCCTAGTTAGTTTTAAAATTTAAAATAAAATAAAATGTACCTAAACTTTTTCAATTTTTTTTAAAATGGGTGATATTTGAAGCAAACTAATAAAAACAAGATAGATTTTTTTTAAATTTAATTTTTTAATATAGTTTGGAAGAATTGAAATTATTAACAACTAAAATGTTAAGAAAAAACTGAAAATTTGAACTCTCAGTTGTTCATTTTTACCTCTTCAACCTAACTTGAAGGATTTAGCACAGTCAGATTTAAGCATTTAGTTAGATTTAAGCACAGATCTCCTTTTAAACAAATGTCCAACCTATTTCTTTGTTTTGTGAGATGCTTGAGGACAGAACTAAATCTTCTTTCTACTAAATATATTGAAGGGAACAAGATGAGGAGCAATTCGCTGGATTCTATAATTATTATTTGCAATTTTCTTTTGTTTTGAAAACTCATCCTCCCACGGAAGAGCCATATTGTTCCTTTTGAGTGATCACCCCCAGGTTGAGAATCACTGTTCTAGAATAAGTTCTGGTAATTTCAACAACAAGGAATGCATCAGAATAATGGATACAGGAACATTGATGTTAAAAATAATGTAAATAAGGGGCCGAAAAGCCTGAAAGATAAATTTGTAGGCCTTTACATTAGGTTTCTATATTCATTGCAGTCACCAAAAAAAGTATATATTTTTTTAATGTGAACTATAATTTTAGGAGTTTAAAGAGTGGATGATTGGAATAGAACCATTTCCTAAATGAATGTTGGGCAATTCTATTGTAAAGTCATGCATGTAGCTTATCATAAAGTAATATTTTAGCAAAAAAGAAAAAAAAGAATAAATGATAACAAAATGTTAAAGACGTATCTGTGTTTAAAATAAAATATCTCTTCTCAGGTCAAAAAGTAATTTTTTCAACAATTTTTGATTTTATTGCATAATTTATTAAACTGATAAATGTAAGTACAGTACAGAACCTCTTATCCGGAAATCAGAAAACCGGAACAAAATTCGATAAATTTTCCTGCCATTTTTAATTTTTTTTTTTCCTCATTAGATTTTAGGATTTTTCTTTCTTTTTTAAAAGATGTTTACCTTACCATCATTTTGGAAATAATCATTAGTGTATTACTTTATCGTTTTTTCTTCTTTTTAAGATTATTTCTAAATATTTATTAATTTTTTTAGTTGGGTTTGATAATAAAAAAAAACTGTTTTTTTGTGACGATTCAGAAAACCGGAAAACTCAGTTATCCGGAATAGTGATGGTCTCGATCGTTCCGGATAATCGGTTCCCTACTGTGCTAAATTCCTTATTTGTAATCTTATATCACGAGTCTCTCGAATTTTGTAGGTAATCGCCATGTATCGTGTGTTGTTCTCATTTGCTCTCATCTATTTGTGTTCGGCCATCACAACCATTCCTCATCCACCAACGATAACAAGACAACCCTCACATGAACAGTTATTTCAAGTATCTCTCACTCAGGATGAACAAGACAAGCCTTTCATATTAGAATGCGAAGCTGATGGGAACCCAGAAGTGGAGTAAGAATAATTTTATAAATTGAAGATTCTCTCCGTCCATCAATACTTCTTTATGATATTTTGTTACATAGTAGTATTGTGAACTCTAGCTACTACGATATCAGATACAGCAACAACTCCCTCTATTGCAATATTGTTTCGTGGTCCCGACGAACTTGCATATGAGTTAACGTTATCCACCTCGTAGATTGCGATATTCTCTGAAACAATAAACCCCTGTAAATGTGAACCACTAATTATTTCCTTCATCGCATTTTGCAAATCATCATCACATTAAAACAAAGAATTAACTATCATGAAATCTGTAGCAGTAATTACCGGAAACAGATCAACGACAAAATCATGCAAATTGGACTCTAATATTTATCCAGATCAGAGTTGTCAAGGGGTTTACGACAAAATGGATTAATCCACGGTTTAAACCGTCCTGTCCAAAACTGTCTTAAACTGCCCAAAACCTATTTACTCAAATTGTGTCACAATTTTAAAAAGAAAATATTGTGAAAAATAGAATGTAAATTTTTGAACAAGAAACAAAATAAAGACAAGTTTCAGTTTTTTATTAAAAAAGTTTATTATTCATTTTAATATTGCATTATTTATCCTTCTACAAAAGCATAATTTATCAGTATTAAAAGCATATTTATTCATATTTAAGGTTGTTCATTATTGTTGTTCAATGAATTGTGAGCTTCAAAAGTTATAAATCTTTTCTTACTACTATATTATATTATTTTGCTTTAATAAGTTAAAGCAAATTGTATGAAAGGTATCAAATATTTATTAATATATGTAATTATTATGTGTACAACTTATTATGTGTACACACTAATAGAATTTTTATCTTTTACCAATGTTCAATGTTTTGGACACTTTAAAATAGTTTAGGACAGTTTTAGTCAGTTAAGAACAGTTTAAGACTGTAAAACCCAAGTGTCCTGTTCGAAACCAGTTTAAGACGTCCAAAACCCCAACCTTGATCCAGATGTAACAAACCTTATGAATAAAAAAATATTAAATTATTATTTTACTAGCACTGTGTCAATCCCCTACATTTTCATCGATCCAAATTCTAAACAATTCGTAAGTTTTTTTGGATCTTTAGTTTTAACAAATTTAAATATTAAAAATTATTAAATTAAAAGCACCGCACATTTTATGGAATTTTTTTTTTTTTAATCCCACCAATTTTTAAGAAACTATTTATAATTGATGTTATAATAAACCTTGATGTTAGTGTTTATTTATTTTTTATTTAAAAATGATTTGTTAAATTGCATGAAATTTATGTTATTTTAACTAGATCACAGTTATACATTTTTTTAATATTTAACTTTTTTTGAATATTTAAATCTTTTTTATCACTTTAGTTAACCAGAAACATGTATCTTTCAAAGCAGCTTTTTCCACTGTGAAAGAAACTTGTCATCCTGTTTAACGGAGATAAATTACGCAGCATAAAAATAATGTAATTTTTTATTGATTCAGAATTTACTTAAAATAAACATTGTGGGAATAAATAGTTAGTTAAGCAATAGCATAAAGCCATTTATGTATGGATAAGAAATATCCATACATAAATGGCTCCACATAAGAATGAACTCTCCAAAATTTTTCCAAGTTCAACAAATAAAATAATTTGAAGCATATAAAAGCTTCACTTAAAATGTTTTATACAACATGTAACAATTATTATTTTTTTTATGGCACAAAATTGCAATCTCACTGATAATTTAGATTTTTTTTTTTAAATTTCTTAATAAATTCAAAAACACAAATTGTCTTTTAGCAAAATAATTTTTCTTCTTGCTATTAAGTTAATAAGAACGAGTAAGGGTGCACGATATTTTACTATACTTTATTTACACTTAGTTTTTAAGAAAATTAAATAATGACAGATTTTTGGCATTATTATTTTTTAGAGTATAATTTATACTTAAATTTTTTAATCAAATTCTTAGACTACATATGTTTTGAGTGTAATTTATTATATTTTTACAAAACAGAAATGTTGAAAAATTTTTAACTTTTGAGACTTTGATATGTGTCTTTAAATTTTGGAATTTTAGTGTTTTAATTTCAGTGTTTTTCAAAATTTATTAAAATTAAATTTCTTATTTTAGTTACATAGTTTTTATAGTTAATTTTTGGTTAGGAGGCAAGGGGCCTGTCAAGTGCCACAAATAGCTTCTAAATGGAAGGTGGGAGGTGTTATTATTTGTTGTTGGTGTTTTATTGTTATACCTATTTTATTTATTACAGATATTCTTGGACAAAAGATGGAAGAGAGTTTGATTGGACAGAAGAGCCCAATAGAATCATTCAGCAACATAAAAAGGGAACTCTAGAAGTCAATAAGCCTATTGATTCAGATGAAGGGATCTATCAGTGCTATGCTAAAAATGTACATGGCACTGCTGTTACTAATGCAGTTCATCTAAGGAAATCTGGTATATGTTTTACTTTTTAAGAAAAATCTAGTTTTTTTGGTTATCAGTAATATTTTTCTATTATTCTCTATTTTTTTTAAAAAATTTCGAAGTTAATTCATTAAATTATACTAAAATAAGTGTTTTCATGCAAAAATTGCTGCTTATACTTTCTGTAAGAAATGAGTTGAATGTTAAATGAGTTTATTGAATGTTATGATGTTAATTGAATGTTAAATGAGTTGAGTGTAAAAATTTGTAAAACCTTTTTTTTAAATCTATTTTTAAATAAAATAAATGATTATTAAGAGTTATTTTTTGCATTAAATTATCATTGGGTAAACTAATTTTATAATTTTGTCCAAAATTTTTTAAATTCACTTAAAAAGTGCTCAGGATAGCAGCAAAATATGCCAAAAATAAAATTAACATTAAGGGTCCAAACTTTGGACTGTTCTCCTAACCAAATCATTGGGGACCATATTTCCCAGATTGCAGTTACTCCTTACATTTTGAATGTAGGGAAACTAAATCCTTTGAAAAAAAGATATGTTTATTCAGAGAAAGTATATTTTTGTGTCTGATTTCATACCTGAAAATGATGTCTGCACAATCAATTTTATTTTATAATCGTCATTGAACAGACAACCCAATGTTCGGTTTATGACTACTAACGTTCAACTCCATAGCCTTGTAATTTTGAACCAAATCCAGGAGATGAGTGAACTCCTGTATCAAGTATTGAGAGAAATTTGTCTCCATGAAGGACTTCTTGATGGAACTAAACCACATTTGGGTTATATGGAAAGGAAAAACCATGAAAACCTCCGACGGTTAGCTTGGCGGCAAGGGAACTCTAACCCATGATCCCGCTACCACTGAGGATATTTTACATCAGCACTGTGGCTGGTGCGATCCGGGTGCAGAATTCGATTCAAATTGCTGGGATTCGTACCTGGTTCACCTCATTGGAAGACAAATGCTCTATCGCCTGAGCCACTGCGGTTAATGTATATATGTTTTATACTCGTTGTTGAACAGCCCACCCAATTTTGGGAATACCAATATTCAACTCCGTGGCTTTGTAATTTTGAACCCATTCTAGAAGAGAAGAAAACTCCCGGATCAAGTATTAGGCGAAATTTTGCCTTCGTAGAGGACTTTTTGATGGAACTCACCCGCATTTGCATTGTGTGGTGAGGAAAACCTCCCACGGTTAGCCTGATGACCAGGGGACTCTAACCCCTGATCCGTCTACCAGTGGTGAGGATATTTTGCATTAGCACTGTGGTTGAGGGGAGCCAGGTATCTACCAGCTATCGCTGGGATTCGAACACAGTTCATCTCATTGGAAGACGAACCCTCTATCCCCTGAGCGACCATATTTGAGGTCCCCAGTCAACCATTAAGTTTGAGTTCTAGTGCACAAAAATCCAATCATTAGATCTTTTTTTTTTTTTTTTTTTTTTTTTTTTTTTTTTTTTTTTTTTTTTTTTTTTTTTTTTTTTTNAAGGCTTGAGGTACCTTTGCTGAGGGCCTGTATTCGCACACACATTTGAAAACATCATGAGGAGGGGGGTTGCCAGAGCCTACGAAGAGGTTGGACTTCTGCCTGTTGGTCCGCGGGAGGTATTTTATTTCCCTCCTACCACCCAAAGGTATTAGCCGATGGAGGCATTCCCCGATCCGCCACCTGGGGACGCGCTCTCTAGGGGTTACAGGCTCCCCCGAGAGACTTTCACAATGACAATGAGACATTTCATTGTCATTGTGAAAGAGACAATGAGACTTTCACAATGAGACATTTTTTCAAATCCTTTGAAAAAAAGATATGTTTATTCAAAGAAAGTATGTTTTTGTGTCTGATTTCATAACTTAAAATGATGTCGGTACAATCAATTTTATTTTATAATCATCATTGAACAGACAACCCAATGTTCAGTTTACGACTACTAATGTTCAACTCCATAGCCTTGTAATTTTGGACCAAATCCAGGAGATAAGTGAACTCCTGTCTCAAGTATTGAGAGAAATTTGCCTCCATGAAGGACTTCTTGATGGAACTAAACCACATGTGGGTTACATGGAGAGGAAAACCATGAAAACCTACCACGGTTAGCTTGGCGGCAAGGGAACTCTAACCCAGGATCCCTCTACCACTGAGGATATTTTACGTCAGCACTGTGGTCGGTGCGATCCGGGTGCAGAATTCGAATCGACCTGCCATTGCTGGGATTCGAACCTGGTTCACCTCATTGGAAGACGAATGCTCTATCGCCTGAGCCACTGCGGTTAATGTATATATGTTTTATACTCGTTGTTGAACAGCCCACCCAATTTTGGGAATACCAATATTCAACTCCGTGGCTTTGTAATTTTGAACCCATTCTAGAAGAGAAGAAAACTCCCGGATCAAGTATTGTGCGAAATTTTGCCTTTGTGGAGGACTCTTCGATGGAACTAACCCGTATTTGCGTTGTGTGGTGAGGAAAACCTCCCACGTTTAGCCTGATGACAAGGGGACTCTAACCCACGATCCGTCCACCACTGAGGATATTTTGCGTTAGCACTGTGGTTGATGGGAGCCGGGTATCAACCAGCTATCGCTGGGATTCGAACCCTCTATCCCCTGAGCGACCATATTTGAGGTCCCCAGTCAACCATTAAGTTTGAGTTCTAGTGCATGAAAATCCAATCATTAGATCTTTTTTTTTTGCATACTGTACATCAAGAGAAATTTAAATATTTTTAAGTGTTGTGTCAAAAATTTATTATTTGTTTGTTTATGATATTTTGTTATTCGACAAATATAATCTAAATCTATTTTTTATAGAACTAAATTCATTTGCTGATGAAGAAAGCAAAGAAGAATATGTTGTTGAAGGAGAACCTTTAACCATTAATTGTAAACCTCCACCCGGTTATCCTAAACCAACAATATTTTGGATCATCCAAGCTAATAGTGGTGCTTTGCACAGCATAAACGAGTAAGATGTTTGTTTTTATTACATAAATTTTTTGAGATAATTTTTCTTTTCTAATGGTAATTAGTGATGGATGTTAACATTTTTGTTTTTAATTTTGAAAGAAAGGAATTTTCATTTTCTGTGTCTAACTGTGCCTTCTTAAGATTTATCGAAGAATTAATACTCATGCATGTATTTTCAAAAATAAAGATACAAGTTTAGTTATTTTAGATGAATGAAATTTACTTGTAATTTATCATGCTTTATTTAAATTATATCTTAAAAATTATGTTTCAAATTTTTTTATTACTTTTAAGAGTTGCATTAATAGTATGGTACATTGAAACAAATTACTAATCTTGATGTATAAAATAGAGTTGAATTAAGTATGGCAGTCAAGGAGTTAATAGTGATAAAATTTTAAAACTTAAGCTTTTGAAATGAAATGGTTGATAGTATTACAGTCATCCCCACTTAATTGCATATCATATAATGGTGTAACTTCCTTAAATTAATTCAATTTAATGTAATTTTGTTTGAAAACTGTGTCAAATTTTCTCATTTAAAGTCATCACTTAATTGTATAAAAAAGACACTTTAAAAAAAAAAAAAGAAATTTCGTTTTTCTGATAAAAACATGCAAATACAATACGTGGTCATTTCAATAGAAACTTCTTACCCATTTCCTGCTCCATAGATACTAATACTTACAATTCTAAATATGATTGTTTATTCATCATTAAAATTAGTTTATTTATTCAAAATCTTATATTAACTGTTACATTTCATTTCTAAGTAAATTTTATTGAAAACATACCCCATTTAAGATGGACTAATGCACTTCCCTTGTAATCAAATAATTTGCTTTTTTGAATACAAGTGACTGGAACCAATGGTATTCCTGTTTGCAGGGCTGTTATGATAGTACTTTATTGTATTGCAATGTATTTTTAATAAAAAATGTTTTAAATGAACTTTGGATTATCTATATGTGCTATCTTATCCAATCAACAAAATTATGGGACATATTTTTAATTATTTAAATTTTGAGTCGAATTAAACTTTATTAATGACAGTAGCTAATAACCTTTTTTGCATTGTTGTTAAAAAGTATGAAGTGCGTCTACTTTTTCAGCCTACCCTAATATACTCTAGGTTTTTTAGTCGATTATCAGAATTCACTGATTTCTCTTGCTCTTAGTGTATTTCAAAAAGATTTCTTAAAATTGAGATAGTTCCTAAAAAATTCCATAATTATTATTATTTATTAATTTATGTTTAATTTGGAACTGTCTAAAACAAATAATCCATTAATATTCATAATTATTAAATGAAATTTATAATAAACATAATGAAGGAAAATGACAAACAGAAAATATTGCAGTTAATTTAAATTTCTTTAATATGATTTATTTTCTATATGATTTTATATTAATATGATTTCTTTAATATGACTTTAAATATGATTGTTTATTCATCATTAAAATTAGTTTATTTATTCAAAATCTTATATTAACTGTTACATTTCATTTCTAAGTAAATTTTATTGAAAACATACCCCATTTAAGATGGACTAATGCACTTCCCTTGTAATCAAATAATTTGCTTTTTTGAATACAAGTGATTGGAACCAATGGTATTCCTGTTTGCTGGGCTGTTATTATAGTACTTTATTGTATTGCAATGTATTTTTAATAAACAATGTTTTAAATGAACTTTGGATTATCTATATTTGCTATCTTATCCAATCAACAAAATTATGGGACATATTTTTAATTATTTAAATTTTGAGTCGAATTAAACTTTATTAATGACAGTAGCTAATAACCTTTTTTGCATTGTTGTTAAAAAGTATGAAGTGCGTCTACTTTTTCAGCCTACCCTAATATACTCTAGGTTTTTTAGTCGATTATCAAAATTCTCTGATTTCTCTTGCTCTTAGTGTATTTCAAAAAGATTTCTTAAAATTGAGATAGTTCCTAAAAAAATCCATAATTATTATTTATTAATTTATGTTTAATTTGGAACTATCTAAAACAAATTATCCATTAATATTCATAATTATTAAATGAAATTTATAATAAACATAATGAAAGAAAATGACAAACAGAAAACATTGCAGTTAATTTAAATTTTTGGTTAATAGTTAAATTTAGTTTTTGTCTTTTATTTCTTTTTACTGATCATAAAATCCGTAAAATTCTATTTATCGCAAATATTTTATCTATACGCTGTGCAATAGTTTTAAAGTTAATATTTTTTGAAATCTATTAGTGTGTCTACTTCTTTTGTACTGTATGCTATTTTTTTTGTTTTGGTTTTTTTGTTATTGATGTCTGGACATTTCTTAACAATCAAAATATCTCTTTTCTATAAAAAAAACAGATTTCATTTTTTAGGCCCTCATCTTTAGCAAAGTCTTTTGCACTAGAAAAAACTTTTTTTATTACATTTATGTTTTTTTAATGATGCAGTTAAAAGCAGGGTATCCGCGTACCTGGTAAGTCATGAATTTTGGGATTGAACAAAATTTGTCATGAAATGTCATGATTTTAACTATTATTTTAAGAAAATCATGGAAAGTCATGGATTTAGGTCGCTGAAAAATTCAACTTTTAAAATGGAATTTAAAAACAACTGCCCCCCCCATTTCATGGTGTTCTGAATCTGTTAATAAAATCCCCACTCACTGTCATATTTTATTAAAATATAAAAAATATTTTTATCATGCTCTTCTTTAAAAGTTATGGTGTATGAAAGAAAAAACATTTTTAGAGCGAATTATCTTTTAAACTTCTGTAATTTCAGACTTTTTGTTAATATTTATTTCTTATTTTATCAATTTAAAATTCTACCTAAACAAGCCAGTCATTGGCGAAATTATTTTATTCCGAAATGAGAACAGAAAAATCAGGAGTATTTTTCTTTTCGTACGAACAAGAAAAGTATCTTTAGAATATAATTCTGCAGAAGAAAATTATTTGCTTTTGTATTTTTTTCAGTTATTTTATTGCTTCAACTTTTTTTTTTTACTCTGTTTTTTTTTAAATTTAAAATCTTTAAATATGAAGATGCAGAGTAAAACAGCTTTGGTTATACGTATCATTTCAATTTATGCTATTATAGTGCTTTTTTATATTTCTTGTTGTGTTTTTGTGGGAGAAAATAGTAACTTCGCTAAGTCATGAAAAATTCTAGGAATTAGTGATGGAAAGTCATGAATTTGAAAATCTAAAATGTAGCAGATACTCTGTAAAAGACAATTGAAAATATAAGATCTGTTAAGAAAACTTATTTTAATGAGCGGAATAAGTTGTGATTATTAATTAGACTAGATATTTGATAACGAGTGTTTAGTTTGAAATTAAAAGGTTATTATTAAAAAATCTTTTTGATTCTGTTCCCTTTTAATATTTTTTTAAGATTAGGATTTATTTATTTTTTAAATATGAAATTTGTTTTTTAATGTCAACAGTAAATTTGCAGTGCTGATGTTTCACATCAAGTAGAAAAAAAATGTATCTTCTTAATTGATGAAAGAGAAAATAAAACTGATCTTCTTATTTTCCTTTTTTTTGTTTTATCTATGACATTCTTTTTATGGTGATAAAATTTTTTTGATTAATTAAATGCTTTTCTAAAACTAATTAAAAAAACACATAAAAATTGATTTTAATAATTTTTTACTAATGCATGTTTGGATCTTCATTTATCTTAAAGACCTCTTATCCCCAAAAAAATGTCATCTACTTTCTGGATTTTAGACAACTTTTGTTGATTTCAAATACTGGACTTTCCACCTTAGTCTATTATGTTTTTGTTCTACTTTAATGGTTTAAATTACTTGCAAATTGCTCTTTATTAATTTTATTTTTTTTTGTTTAGTTCTCGAATTACTGTGGATCCAGATGGCAACCTGCACTTTTCTAATGTTACTTATGCAGATGCATTAGACGATGCTAGATACGCTTGCAGTGCTACATCACTCTTCCGTAATGAATATAAATTAGGGAATAAAATTCTGCTTCATGTAGAGCCAGCAGGTAACTAAGTTACTTTAAAATTTTCTGCATGAATTTATATTAAAAGGACGCTTTACCGCAGAAGAAAGTTTTTGTCGGAAAATTCTCTTTCTCCTTTATTACTAATTTAGTGCTAATGAAGTTTCAATTGCTAAAAAAATACATCAAAATATTAGAAGAGAAATTCCCTGTTGCGAAATCGTAAGCTATCATCTCATAGTTTATTTTCATTTGTATATTTTAAAAATTTCTTTTCAGCATTTGAAACTTCATGGTTTACTCTAGGTTTGTCTGAACTCACTTTTTCTACACTTTAAATTTTAAATTATAAATGAAGGAAAAAGAGAATTTGCATCAAAAATATTCTTCCGCTGTATGCTCTTAAGGATTGTTGCTGACTTTTTTCCTTCACTTCAGTTCCAGAAACCAGACCTCCTACTCAGATGTATGTTCCTCCTCCAAATATTGTTGCATTGAGGGGCCAGACATTGGAACTTAGATGTATATTTGGAGGAACGTATGTATCTTTCATTTACAACTTATTTGTCTAATAATTTTATTTCTGTTAAAGAATTTTTTAAAATCTGTATATTTTGTTTTGATTTATTCTGTGAGATTTTTCTCTTGTAATAACTATTGCAGTATTTTCCTATAAATAGGTTGATTCGAAGTATAAATTGACTATTACTATTAAATTAAAGCTGGAGTTGAGAGGTTTTTAGATTTTTAAAATCAATAATACCAACTCTAAGCTTTTATGAGATGTTCTGAGAAGTTTTGTTTTTGTTAAATAGAAGTTTTGATTGTGTAATAATTGCTATACTTTTCTTAATTTTTTATCCATCTTACATACTCAGTAATTTTTTTAAGCTATAAATCATTTAATATGCTTCAAGAAAAATTAAATATTTGAGTTCAAATATTTAACTGGTGAATATCATATAAAACCTTAAGAATGCAATTGTAACATATGGATTTGAAATCTGAGTTTTACCCAACAAAAATATGAAAAAATTTTAAACATAGAATAATTTATGGAGCCATTTAATGAAAATAACGGGTGTAAAAAAAATTGACAAAATATAAGATTTATCAAAGCTAAAAGAATACAGTGGATGAAGAATGAACGGAAAAGAGGTAGGCCACAGCTAAGATGGCTAGATCAGGTTAAGGAAGAAAAAAAAAAAAAAACACTGGAGAGAGAGAGTGACATTTAAATTTATTGTAGAGAAATTCAAAGCCTTCCAAGAGCAGTAAAGCTGGAAAAGAAAAGGAAGACAAGCTTACTTACATTTCAATTTGGATTTAAATTTGACTTGTGCACCAAAAAATATATGTTTCGCTGGATTAATGTATTGAAAATTAAGAGTCTGGAGGCCTAATAATTGTTAAATTTCAAAATTAATTAGATATTTTAGTGACAAAGTTATTCTAAATAATTTTTAGATACTTACTAAGTAAGTTTTAAAAATTTCTGAATAACATTCTTTGTTAATTTGTTAAAGCATAAAAATTCCAAAAAAATTAAGGAAAATTTTGTCTTTATTTATTCTAATTTTTTATTTTTGAATTAGTTTGCTGAATATGCATTAAGTTTTATATGTTGAATTATTTTTTGCTATGAGGTATATCAATTCTTATTATTGAGTGAATATATCAAAACAAGTCACATTTTTAAATTTTTTTTTTGAGAGCCTTTATTATAAACAGTACGTAATTGTAATTGCTTTTCTCACATTCAATCGATCATTTGAATATATAATATATTTGAATATTTTGGAATCGTATGCACATTGTGGTTTTAAATAAAATCTTCCTTTTTAGCCCTGTTCCAGAAATTGTTTGGACTAAAAAAGGACGTAGTCTTCCACGCGACCGTGTTGTTTATGATCATTTTGGGAAAACTCTAAAAATAAAAAAAACTGATTTTCAAGATGAAGGCACTTACGAGTGCACTGCAAGTAATGGAGTTGGCACTCCTCTTTCATCCTCAATGGCAGTTACTGTTCAATGTATGTTATAATGAGTATATTGTTATATGTTATTATGAGTATACACTATTTTTTATGTACAGTTTTAAATTTTCTAACACTAGTCATCATCTTCTTTGGCCTATTGGCAATTTTGTCAATTATCATTCTCTCCCATTTTTTTTCTATTTTATTTTTTGATTATTTTTTGATTTTCCAGCAATTAAAATCTGTATAGTTAGCCCAATATAGCTCGTACAAGAGCACTGTAATTATGTTTCCTTCTAATATCTTGTGTATTATATATACAGGGAAAACACTGGGAATTTTTTTTCCAGATTCCAGTGGCAACCCTGTGTTTTCATCAATATCACTTTTATCACAACATAACTGCTCTCATCATTTTATATATTTTCTAGTTTTAAATTTATTAAACATTTTCTGTGCCAAAGAAAAGAAAATTTGTTTTTTGATATTGTTGATGATACTTGTTCATAAGCATTTATTTGAATTATAGTGATAAGTTTAAAACATGAAGTTGTATTTTTGAATTGGTATAACATGATATGCATCTGTTACTACATAATTGCATTGGTCCATGCCCATTGAAACTAAAAAGTACTTTTCAGCAGTATTAGTTGATATAATTTATTTATTTTAGCTGCCCCTTATTGGATTAATTCACCCAATAATACAAATGGTGCTGAAGGTGAAGATGTTACCTTTGAATGTGTGGCTGGTGGGGTACCAGCACCTGAGGTCAACTGGTTTATGAATGGCGTACCTCTAAAGGGTAATTTTTATAAACATTTTACAATTGTGAAGATTAGTCTATTATTTCTGATTTAGGGCATGTGTATTAACCCTCTCTAAATATTTTTACCAGTAAAAAGTTTTATTTTTTAGTTGTTGTTTAAGAACTATTCTACTGACTTATTTAAAATTTTGTATTTTTGTCCTGTCAAAATATGTAGTTTTGATGTTTTCCAAAATTTTTTATGCATATAATGATGACCACTTAAAAAAAAATGAAATAAACACTGGATTAATTATAAAATCAGTCATTTTTTTAAAAATTAAATCTGTAAGAAGACTGGCAATTGTTACAATATTGAAAGAGGCTAAAAACCATCCTGTAATAAATCTTGACTGCTGTGTTGTAAAATCAAATGTTTGTAGATCATATATTTAAAAAATGAAACATTTTTTTCTCAATTTTCTTAGGAAATTGAAAGGTGAGAGATAATAAATATAAAACAGGGAAAGAAAACTGTTTATGAAGTTTTTTTAAAAAAAAGTTATAGAATGCCTATCATCATTCAATGTCAAAGATCGTCACTCATTTGATAAAGTTAATCCATCTTCAACAGAAGTCAGAAAAGCACTTGATATTTTAAAATGTAATTTACAACAGAGAAAAGGAAATATTGGAAGTTTAAAAAACTTGGATAAACTCTTACAGCATGTTGAATCTTTAATTTTAAATTTTGCTAATCTAACAAATATGCTAATATTATAAAACCGTTCTGTAAATTAAAAAAGCAATTCATGTTTAATTGAAATGTCAAATGTAAATTCCTTCAAAATTAAATAAAAACCAATTTAGGTTTTTGTGTATTTGTATAACTTTAAAGCATATTTTCTAAAGACATTTAAATATTTTCATATCCCCCCCCCCCTAAGTTTAGATATTCCAGTTTGTAAAATCAACATTTTTATAAAATTGAATGTTCTCAGAACGGGCATTAATAGGCATCAGCCACTTTATTTTTAACATGATTTAGTAAAAAATAAATTATTATTAAAAATTATCTTTTCAATTGAGATATTTACTAAAAAAAGCTTCTTCATTAAGTCATAAGATATTACTTTCAAATTAGCACCTTGTTATTCTATAAATTTTTATTTATAAAAATATAATAATTTGTTTTGTAAACATATTAAGTATTTTTGATCATTCAATAATGTATGTATATTTTTTCTACTATAACTTTTAAATTATTTCAGAGATAATTGTATTCTGGGCGTATCCCTGAATTCTGGGTTTTTCATATTGGTTATCTGGCTTTAAAAACTAGAAGCAGGGCATGAGAGTTTTCTGCGAATATCGGAGTTCCGCAAATAAAAATCTTATAATCTGTTGTAATGTTGAAACTTTTGTAAATTCCCGTTAACAAGATGTATACACACGTGATTCTTTATACCAATTTGATTCTTTTGGTTTGGCGAATCTTCGCCATTTTGAATATTTGCAACTGTGCGGGAAATGACTAATATTTTGATTCTTATTCATGCGATTTTAATATCAAACATAGATTTTTGTATTTACCTGATTTAAAAAAAAGTTGTGTGTTGCAATTCAAATTTTTGCAATTTAAAAATCGTTCATTGCGATTCCTTATTCATATGATTTAAAAACCCAATTTGCGATTCATATTTACAAGTTTTTACAATCCAATATTGCGATTTGTATTCACACGTTTGTCATTTTTGTCAACAGAGAGTGTCGCAAGAACAATATTGTATCCGTACATCAACTATGCAAATAAAATACAAAGTTTCCATTGTAAACGATCTATTTTAAGAGCATATTAAACTGGTAGACAAATGTAACGTACTTTCACAAACAGTGACAAATGAGCAACGAAAGGAAAGAAAACGAAATAATCTGCTTCAACAGCTGCTTAAATACTCCTATTTAGCAGATAAGGGATGACATCATGGTCCACATATGAATGGCCAATAACAAATGAAAAGAAACCAGCTGAGCCTTGTAGACCATGACGTTACAAACTTAAGTTGAATGCATGAGATCGTTGACGAAGATGAGGACTGACGAAGATTGAAACTTTACTTTTTTTATTTTAATATACAATCAATATGGGAAAAGCCCTTTTAGCATTTATTTATCCAACATTATGAAAGATTTAAAATCTACGCATTGCGATTCGTATTACCGCAATCCAATATCGTGATTCATATTCAACGATTTTAAAATTCAATGTTGCAATTCTTATTCACGAGATTTTTAAATCCAATGTTGCGATTCCTGTAAGAAGTAAGTTTTTTCTAGAACTTGTTACTATAAAGGTGAGATATTTTTCATTAGTATGTAATTTAATTATAAATGTGAGTTAAAAAAAATTATGTTAAATATGAAACATGTATGGTATATAGATTGATATCGATTTTTCGCACATAAAATTTTCAGGGTTTTTCACTTTGTGTCACAATTACCCCTGTTATTTTTTCTTTAGTTCACTTCCAATAATTTTATTCTGATTCAATCTGATTTATTTGATGTTTGTCATTCGAAAAATATTGTTTTTTTTTTTCTGCAGAAGCCAAAAGCAATCCTAGGAGGCGACTAGATTCTAGTGCTAATGTTCTTACAATTGAGGGGCTTAGAAAAACTGACACAGCTGTATTTCAGTGCAATGCATCTAACAACCATGGCTATGCTTTTAGGGATTTTTACCTTAATGTTCTTGGTATGTTCTATGTCTTACTCTACTTTTTAATTACATTAATTTGTATTTATATGCACCATAAAATACTGATTTTCTCTTTGTTGTAAAAGTTAATTCATAGCTGCTAACTTTTCTGGACTACTGGATTTTGCCAGTTTCTCCTGGTTTAATTAAGATTCTCTTAGTTTTTGTACATTTTAGAAAATTCCCTAAAATTGAGTTAAGTTTCCTGAAAAAATTCCTATTGAAATAGAATTTTTGTACATATTATTGCTTGCTTGAATATTTAAATAAGTATTACTAATACATAATGAAGCAATTGTCATGTATAGAAATCAGTTTAAAACTTTTTTTGTTGTAATATGTTTGTTTTCATTTAGAACTCTCTTTATAAATTAATTTAAAAAATCTTTTAATTATCTTTTATGAATTAAATGCTTATTAATATTCGAAATTGTGAGTTAACATAATACATAACATTTCAAGTATGTTTAATGTCAATCATATCTGAAAAATATTGCAGTTTTTCTATTTTGATGACTTTAAAAATCCCCTATGTGTAAAATATTTCGTACATTATGTAACAATTATCATGAAATTTATGTTATTTCGTAAAATCTACTGGAATTTTTCCTACCCATGTTGACAGCTATCTTAATTATATAGAATAATTTTAAAATGAAAATGAATTTTAAAGCATTGAATATTTGTACATTATATTTTTAATTAAAAAATTTTTTTATTTTAAAATGTATGTTCCTGAGCTGAATATTTATGTTATAAGATTTTAATTTTCGAAATAAATATTAGCAATTTTCATTATTTTTAAACCTACTTACCAAAACTAACTCGCTAGTATTATTTTTTATATTACCTATCATTTAATTTTTTGAAAATGACTAAGTTTGAAAAATAAAGAAAATTTAGTGAAAACGATTAAAACCTTTTTTTCCTTAGCTTTGCCTCCTACCATTACTGAGCGACCTGAACTCGTCACAAGTGCAGTTGTTTCCTCGATGGTGATTTTGCGATGCAGAGTTTTTGGCGCTCCAAATCCTGTGATTAAATGGCAGAAGGGCAAACAAGATTTAAAAGGAGATAGATTTCAAGTAAGCATTTTGTTACTTTTTTGTATAATTAGTGTATTAGGTTTAAAGTTTTTTTTATAAGGTTTAGCCTTGTTTTGATATAATCAGGCACATGATTTTTCCACTAATTCGCGGAATTCTGCGAATCTCAAGACCATTGGTTTGCCGAAACCCTCGAATCAATAATTTATGTTCCGATAAAATTTTCTCTGACTTCTGTTCATTTAAATTTCGTTACTCAAGCGAAATTTTTTTACCAAAACATTTATACCGTCCTTATCAACCTCCTTTTCTACTTCCTAAGCTCTCATTCACATGTGATAACTATTTTTTTAAACAAATTTGTTAGTGAAAAACGCAACTTTAGGTAGCCTTTGAGAAAGCGAAAGAGAGAAAAAAAAATTCCTTAATAACTTTGGCTAGAATTATTGAGCTACTGAGACACACAATTATTGAGCTACTGAGGCAATTAACAAGTTCTGAGATCAAACTTATTAATTATTTCTAGTGTAAATAGGTAGAAATAGTGTCTAAAATAGTTTTGCAATCATCCTAGATATTGGAAGTTCTAAAAAATAAAAATTAGAAGAACTTATGTATTTTTTTGATATTCTCTAATCATCCAGTTTCTTTTTGATCACTCGCTACAAGTCTTTTTTTTCCCCTCCTTGTGGCATGTTTTGCTTTTTCATAATAAAAAAAAAGTGAAATTAGCTCACTAAACAGGAGTTGTTATGTTATAATAATAGTTGTTAAGTTGTTTGTTTATTTTGTTGAAATAAAATTTAAAAAATTTTAATATTTATCATCATTTTTGTAATGTTTTTTTTATATACCAAAATAAAAAAAATTTAAATGTGTATTTTAAATTTCTTTTCCTATATTCCTATTATTGAAGTATAACTTGAGTGTTTAAATATTTTAGATTTCAAAAAAAGGTGCTTTAATTTAACGATTTTTTTTGTTTTGTTTTGTTAAATAGGTTCAACAAAATGGGGATTTAGAAATAACTGATGTCCGACCTCAAGATGAAGGGGAATACAACTGTTTGGCTACCAATAAATTTGGTACCGATGCAGCTTCAGGACGTTTAGAAGTTAAAAGTAAATTTCTTATTACTCAAAACATAACTATCTGTCCGTTTGCAGCTCCTAAATATGCAGACGGTATATTTATTTGCAAATCTATGGAATTTAATATTTTAATGTCAGATTTCCATTTTAAGACTTATTTACAATTCTGAAGTTAGGAAAATTTTAATACGTTAAAAACATGGTGGGAATCATCCACAAATTTAACAAAAGTCATTGAAGTATTTTATTTGATACATTCTACCCAATTCGGAGTTTCAGTATTTTTTAATCTCTTAAATAATGTTATGAGGAAGAAAAAACTAAACTTTTGTGTCATGAAATTTATTAAGGGGAATTAAGGGTCCTATACTTATTTACTAATTTTAGAAGAGGAAATCAAATCTAGTAAGTAGATGAAAAGTAGTTTTTTCAAAATTTTTTAATTGATTTAGTTGTATAGTTTAATTAAAATAATTTGAATCTAATTAACAATATTAAATTATTACAGAATTTCCATACAAGCGAACTTAGGATTCATCAACAAATTAGTTGTTTAGTTATAGTCAAAATTTATGAACAAAGTAATTAAAAATGTCATATTTTGAATAAGAAAATATATTAAAGTTTAAAATGAATATAAAATTTTCATTTTGACTTTTAGTGTGTAATGAGCTATAATAAAATGAGCTATGTGACTTAAAGTGAAATTTTAAGTTTGAAAATTTATTGTAAAAATATATCAGCATATTAGCAATTATCGATTTCAACTTGCCATTTGTGTTTGAAACAATGTTGATGTGTGAGACTTTATTATGCTCGGTTTTAAAGATTTCTATAAAGAGTTAATAAGTGTTTATAGAAAAAGAGTAATAAGTATTTATAGAATAAGAGTAAATAAATATTTATAGAAAATCTTGATACAATCTCCCTTGAAAAACTGATAATTCAATGTATAATTTGAATTATGGTACTGTTCAACCTATATATCTTATGCTAATATATTTTCTTATTATAAATTATTTCTTAGAAAAAACAAAAATAAACGTTCCACCAGAAAACTTTGAAGTTGCGGCAAGTAAATCTGCTACTTTCCGTTGTGATGCTGACGCAGATCCCAGCCTGCAGTTGAACATTGTGTGGCTTTTCAATGGACAGCCTATCAATTCTGATTTGGACACACGCATTGTTCAATCTGCTGACAATTCACTTACTATCACAAAAACTGTTGAGTCTGATTCTGGAGTTTATACTTGTGTTGCGAAATCAGAACTGGATCAAGATGAAGCTACAGCTACTTTGACTGTTCAAGGTATATTATTATCTTCTTTTCCTTTGTTTTTTTGCTTTTTAAAAGTCCAATATCGCAATTCATATTCATGTGATTTTAAAATCCAGTGTCGCAATTCTTGTAAGAACTAAGTTTTGTATTAAATTAGTTTCTGCAATAGTGTTATTGGTAGGTTTATTAGTTCTACAATAGTTTTATTGGTAGGTAATTTAATTATAAATCTTCAAAAAATTATTTAAATATAAATAGTATATAAAATTCAAAACATGATATTAAATATGAATAGTATATAAATTTATATCTTGTTATCGAGTTTTTGCACATAGGGTTTTTCACTTTGTGTCCTATTTTCCCCTGATTGATAGATTTGTTCGTTCTGACATTTATCTCAATTTAGATTATTTTTTTCTAATTCATTCATAGTCTGATACTGCATTCATTTAGACGTACCTAATACAATGGGTTCTAATATTGCTTTATTTTAGACACACCTAATCCACCGAAGATAGTGCGAGTTCAATGTGAAGGTTTAACTGCCCTGGTGGAGTGGCAACCCAATGGTGATCGCAGAGCCCCCATCCAAAGTTACACTATCCAGTATAATACTAGCTTCACACCTGACACATGGGAAGATGCTTTTGTTAATATTCCTGCCCCAGATACTCGTTTTAAAGTAAGTATACTCACTAGATCTTTATGAATTATTTTTTTAGCAGGAGGAAAAAAAAACTCTTGAAATGATTTTTCTCCTTTTTTTTTTCTCCTTCTCAGTATTACAGCAAAACATTTTTAAGAGTGTGTGTGTTGTCTAATGTGTGTTTTTATGAGTGTGTGTGTTGTATAATGTGTGTTTTTATGAGTGTGTGTGTTCTTATTACTAACTGTTAACAATTGGTGTTAACTTTTACCTTTTAAATCAAAGCAAGTAACAGTTATAATTGAAAATTCATTTTTCAATTGTTTATGCATCATTTATGTATTTAAAAATATTGATAAGTCTCTTGTTTCCCCCCAAAGAAACTATTTTTATATTGAAATTTCTTTAATTTTTGTTCTAAAATATGGTAGTTGTGTATTTATATGAATATTATTTTGTTTCTTAAGGTTTCTATGACACCTTGGGCAAATTATACTTTTCGAGTCATTGCAAGAAACAAGATAGGGCCCAGTGAACCCAGTGGTCATTCCAGTGTTTGTGAAACACCAGAAGATGTTCCCTATAAGAATCCAGATAATGTTATTGGCAAAGGAACACAGAAAGATAATCTAGTCATCCAGTGGACAGTGAGTAAAAATCACTTTTTATCAAGCAATATGGCAATTAACAGCTTATTATTGGTACAATTCATATTCTGATATTGTCATATGACTTTATTAAACACTTAACTTAAGATCGCATTACAACGATCGTAAACTGGTACGAAATTGCTCAGTTAATTTTAAAGTTAGCGGCTTTTGTGTATTGTTACTCACAAAGGCTATAAGAAAGGAAATACAATAAAATTACTTTAAAAATTTTTTTTAGTTCTGTTATAAATAAAAAGTAAATATAAATTTATGATTTAACATGGAAATTTTAAGTTCAATCAACTTATTTTTTAAAGTGGTCTTTTTAAAGATTCAGGTAAAAAGCTGTGTTATTGCTGTCACATGAAACATTATATTGTTTCATTTTTTTTTAATATTATCATCTCTTTTTCTTCACATTGTATCTACTCAGATTTTATAAATATATTGTTTCTGAGTATGAATTTTTTAAAACTGCTTTTTCTTATTCTTCTATAGTTAATTTTCCCTTTTTTTTAAAGGAAAAAATGTATTTTTTATTTTTTTTATGCATTGACGATCTGGCAGTATTTCATTATTATTAGCCCTCCAAGCGGAAAGCTTTTGTGTAATGTTACTCACAAGGAATATAATAAGCGAAATACAATAAAATTATGTTAAAAATTATTTTTAGTTCGATTATGAATAAAAATAAATATAAATTTATGATAATAATATTGATATTTTAAGTTATCACTTAGTGCCTCATCATACATTCGTCTTATTTTTTAAAATGACCTTATTAAGCATTCAGGTACAAGGCTGTGTTATTGCTGTCATATAAAACATTATATTATTATTATTATTATTATTTTTTGTACTACTATTGTCATTTCTTTTCTATCAGTATATCTACACAGATTTTTTAAATATGCTGTTTCTGGGTATGAATTTTTTCAAAATGATTTTTCTTATTCTTATAGTTAATTCTCCTCTTCTATTTTTTTTTAAGAAATTTTTTTTTTTTAAATGCTTGGACAATATGGCAGTATTTGAGTATTATTAATCCTCTAAGCGTTAAGTGAAAATAGCTAAAATTTCTTGCCATTTACTACTTTCCCATTAAACATAGCAAAAACCAGATTTTTGATGCAGGAAAACTTGCAACTGAAAGTTTCGAAAAAGTCACAACTTGTGCTCCAAGGGTTAAAAATGCCAGATTTAATTTCAAGATTTGAAAAGGATAGATGTTAATTTATTACATTTTTATATAATTTATTTAAGTACTATTTTTTTAAAAAAATATTTCATTTAAGGTTAGGGCTATTATCCCTGAGAATAGCAAGCATGACTTTTGTATGTGGATTGATTTACTATGCATTACATTATAATTAAACAAACTAATTCTGGTGTTTTTGCCCAATCTAGAAAATGCCAATGATTGAACAGAATGCCCCAGGCTTCTTCTATAAAGTATTTTGGAAACGTGAAGACATACCCAACGCCCAGTGGCAATCTGTAGAGATCCCAGATTGGGAACAGAATAGCTACATCATCCCCACGCAGCCAACGTTCAAGCCCTATCGCATCAAAGTAGAAGCTCACAATAGCAAAGGGCAAGCGCACACGGCTGCAACGGAAGTTATTGGTTATTCTGGAGAAGATGGTAACTCCCTTTCATAGTACTAGTGAAAAGCTTGTTTTCAAAACAATAACAAGGTATGAGAAAAAGTCAAACTACGTCAGAAATTCTGAAAAGCAGGACGCAAATCAGGGGTGTAGTAATTTTGGTCCATTAGCCGATACTTCGCAAATCTTTTTAAAGTAAAAATGAACCTTCAAAAATTATTTTACTATAAAAACTTGTAAGCTTTTATCGTAAAATGTAACGTTCTCAATAATTTTCGGGTTCGAAATTGACCTTTCATAGAATTCTTCCTTTGAAAAGTGTAGTCCGAGACCTCTTTAACTCAAAATTTTAAAGATTATAACTCCATTAAAAATAGAGTTTTATGTTTTTTGCACTAAGATAAATCCTTATTTTACAAAAAATCTCTTAATTATGATTAAATTTTTCACAATTTCCCGAAATAGGTTCATTAACAGAAAGTCTACATCAACCACTTCATTCTTGTAGTGTTTTGTGCTTTAAATTTTTTGCTGAAAATAGTTATATAATAATGGAAATTTATGCATAAAAAAATTAAATTTATTGAGGATAAACAGCTTTTTCCCTTTTAAGTTAATACTTGTTTCATTATTGTCATTATTATTATATTTCATTATTGTTGTGCTGTAGATTTACGAATTGAAAGAACAATTTCTGACCTCATGATTTCAAAAATCTACAAATCATATTTATAGAATGAAGTATTTTTTTTACTTCGAAAAATTTATTTAATGATCATAATGTACATTGTGCAAAAAAAAGGGGGGTCCACCCTGAGTAACTTTTGATCTAATGATCGGATCTTCTCTTTCTGGGACTCATTTTTAATGGTTCAAGGATGGTGACCTCAAATATGCTAAAAAATAAATGCAGACGATATTTAAAGTTATGAAATCAGGCATGAAAATATACTTCCTCTGAATAAACATGACTATATTTAAATGGATTCAGATTTCTAACTCCCAAAATATAGGGGGTGTTGCAATCTGGGTAATGTCCCAATAGTTTGGTCAGGAGAGCGGTCTAAAGTTTAAACCTTTTGATGTTAATTTTACTTTTTGTGTATATCTCAAGAACTTTTAACCTAACTGAAAAAGTTTTGCACCTAATTATAAAATTCAATTATCCGAAGATAATTCCATGCAAAAAATAACTTTAAGTACCGTATACTCTGGCGTATAACGCGCACTTTTAATACAAAAAATAACATTGGAATTTACGGGTGCGCGGTATACGCCGAACGTAAAAAATTATAGATTAAAAAAATTTAAATACTATAGAAAAATACTTTTATTTTGAAGAAATAACATACCTTTACCTATATACTTTATTGATTTTCGGTATTACATAAATAGTTCATTATATTCGTCTTCCGTTATTTCTTCAGGCACGTCATCACAATCTGTTTCGTCTTCATCAGTGTTACCTTCATCCATAAATAAACAGCCATCTTCTGATCCGACCAGATTATTTGAAATACTGCATTTTGTGAATGATTTTCTAACCATCTCAGGCTTAATTTCATCCTATGCTTTTAATATCCATTCGCACACAGTTTCCAAACATGCATGACGCATATGTCCTCCTTTCGTAAAGGTTTTCTCGCCCTCCAACATCCAAGTGTTCCACTGTTTTTTTAAATTGGCTTTAAATGGTTTGTTGAAGCATACGTCCAATGGCTGAACTAATAGTGTCATTCCGCCCGGAATAACTGCCATATCGGTGTTACATTCTTTCAACAATTTTTTTTTGTATTATCTGTAAGGTGGGACCTAAACATGTCCCACACTAAAAGGCTTTCTGGTTATCTATTGATACTAGACGAAATATTGCACATGTACAATCCAAATTTTCGTGCGCGTTATACGAATAGTATATCTTAAAATTTAAAAAAAGTTATTAGAAATTATGGGTGCACGTTATGCGCCGGAATATACGGTAAGTATTTTTAAGAATGGTTGGAAAAAAATTGAATTGTGAGGTATACTATTTTTTGCACCATTTTAAAGAATGTATTTTTATAGAGCAAAATTGGTTGGAAAGTTCCTGAGAAATCAAATTTTAAGTATCTGACTTTTTTGAAATTCGATTTCTCATGAACTATTCAACGAATTTTGTATTTTGCTAAATAAAATTACATTCCTTAAAATGATGAAAAAATTTTATACCTTACAATACAAAATTTTTGCGATAATTCTTAAATGAAATAATTAATATTTACTTAAACTTATTTTTTTCAGAAACTATCTTTGGACAAACAATTTTTATACTTGGGTAGAAATTTTTTCGATTCTCTTTTAAAGTTCTGAAGATATAGTGAAATACACAAAAAGCAAAATTAACATCCTAAGAAGCGAAAATCTGATCACCAGATAAAAAATTATTAAGGTGGTCCATATATATATACAGTAAAACCTCGCTACAACAATATTTTGCGGATCAAATAAGAATATTGTTGTAGAGGGATACATTGTTATATCGAGGGCCCACATAATTCTGGGACGCAATGAGATTTTTTGAAATTTAATGTTATATATTCATTAACTATAAATATATTTATATATTATCGAAAAAATTAATTTGCAAAGTGTTTATTACGGTTAAGCATTAAAAACAATGGATATAAATACAGAACATAAGATTGTANATGCAGAAAGGCATTTTACATTATTTGAAAACCAGTAAAAAAAAAATGGAAAATAATGTGGAAATTTGAAAAAAAAATCGTTTTATAGAGGTTTACTGCTTCAGAGAATATCGTTATATTGAGAGGAAGATAACATTAATCCATATGCAAGTTTGGCGGGACCACGGAACATTATCGTAATAGAGGGAGTTATTGTTGTATCGGATATCGCAGCAGCGAGAGTTCACTGTATATATTTTAGCGCATTGCACATAATGTTAGTAACAAATAATGAACCTAACAAATGAAGCCAGTTTGTAACCTTTACCCACTTCATACAGTTGAGACAAATTTGAATGGATTGTCTTATTTGTTTTAAATACCAATGTAAAATTTTATAATTTTTTTTCAATGATAGATACATGTTGAAAATCTAAAGTAAAAAAAATTCTTTCAGTTCCCCTGGAAGCACCGAAGAATTTCAATCGTATGTATGTAAAAGATGCCAGATCAGCCATGTTCTCCTGGGACCCTGTCTCACCAGAATCAGTCAGAGGACATTTCAGAGGCTACAAGGTAACTATTTCTATTCCCACCCTAAAATTAAGTTAATTTTGAGTTAACCCCATTCTAAATCAGTTATAATGATTGCTTCTTCTAACCTACTCTACTTGCACCAACATAGGTACTCTTGTACCACTTGCTGCTTATTTCTGTTTAGCTTAATTCTGGCGTTGCTTCAAGTTATACCAAAATAAACAGTTCTCCTAAAATCTTCCTAAATCTGTTTCGTCTTGCTTCTGTTCTAAAATGAACATGTTTTATGAAATAGGCAACACTCAAATGACAATGTCTTCTTAAGAGGACGCCATACCATGGAAGATAATTTTCGTGACAAATTCTTTCTCCTTCATTGCTAATTTAAAGTGTAGAAAAAGTGAGTTCAGACAATCCTAGAGTAAGCCATAAAATTTCTAATACTGAAAAGAAAATTTTTAAAATATACAAATGAAAATAAACTTAGAATTATGCAACAAAGAAGTTCTCTTCTAATAATTTGTTTGCATTTTGATCTTTTGAAGTATTTTTTTCAGCAATTGAAACTTCATTTTCAACTCTAGGTTGCCTGAACTTACTTTTTCTTTCTTTTAAATTTTAAATGAGTAATAATGATAATTTGCAACGAAAATTTTCTACCAAGGTATGACGTCCTCTTAACTGCGATGGAACATCTTTATTGCTTTTGAACTGATAATTGAATTTTTATGTACTAAGATATCATTTTAGATCATTTTTGCAAGAAATATCCAATCAAAATAAAATTTCTTCTTTAGAATATGGCTAGTTACAAAAGCATTTGAATAATGGCACTAGTGATATCCTAGTACATAGGTGCTTACAAGTCTTTGTTAGCCATTCTGCATTGAACAAGATTGTTAGATGTGCACAGTCTTTATGTTACTCATTTTGTTGCTACAAAAGAAAGTATCTTTCAAGAAGTGGAAATAGAATGCCTTTTGTTTGTCCTCGTATATTTTCCACAATTTGTGACCACTTCTAAGGGCAGATGCCCTAGTGTGTTTTTTTGTTTTTGTGTGCTAATCATTCATTGTGAACACCATGCTTCCAAGTCTACTGAAAGAATCCTGAATTTGGGAGGAATTGACTCCCAAAAAATATTCAAATCTTTAAAATTTTTAAAGTATAATAATAAAAAAAGCATTTCTTTTTTGCAATTTAAATTTTTTTATTAACATAACTGCAAATACTATATTACATTTTCTTTCTGTTCAAACTTTGAAATATTTTCACTTTAACATCAATTGTAATTACTTTTCATTCAGTTAAATATTTGCACATATTTTCAGGAAGTAAACTTTAGTAAACTGAGTAGTAGTCTTAGTCTTTTGGGTACATTTCTGAAGTAACTGATTTAAAATGCTTTATTAGGATGAGTAAAATGTTGTTACTTCTGGCTTGAAAAACAAATTGTTTGTGTACATACAATAAAAACATATGTGTGAAATTTCAGTGCATTTTAGAATTTGATATTATCAGAATTTTAAATTCAGTGTGCTATAATTTGCTATTTTTCTAAGACTTTTCTATGTTGCATTATTTTGAGTCAACTTGTATTTTCTGCTGTTTTTAGACATGAGATTTTTTCTTTTTGGCGAAATTTTCAATTTCATGAACTTGTAAACTTAATGAATTTCTAAACTTTATTAAGTTGGACTGTCAATGTATGCATATAGTAAAAAGGAGAAAAAAATATGTTTGCAAATAAGGTTTCCTTTTTTCGAAATAGTTTCACACCCCTTTTTATTTATTTATTTTTTTGATGATTTGAGTTGTTAGGTATTTCAAACTTTTTATTCTTTTCACACTGAATCAAATATAACGATGAAAATATTTTGAAATATTTTTTTCACCTGATAAATACAATAGATTACATTTATTTTAGATTTAAGTTGTTGTTGTTTTTGTAGATCCAAACATGGACTATTGATGAAGGAGAAGAACGACTTCGTGAACAGGTTGTTAAAGCTAATGTCACACAATCATTAGTGACCATATTTCGTCCCTTCTCACGTAATTTAGTGAGAGTGTTAGCATTCAATGACATGTATAATGGACCACCTTCTGATGTCATTGATTTTATAACTCCAGAAGGAAGTAAGTTTGTCTTCATTTTGGGTTTGATTTTCTAATACATTTGGTGTAATACATTTACATTTAGTGTAATAAATTTTTTAAATTACACATTTAGTGTAATAAATTTTTATGATATTAAACTTACATGAGACTGTTTTGTATTTTTAACTTAGGCAGCTTTCATAAAGACTATTAATTTTCATTGAAAATTATAATTAAAAAATAAACAACAAAAATAAAAGAATATTTTAAGCAAATAGGCTGAAATAAGACAAACTCATTAAACATTTGACATTTATTGGCTTCTTAACATGATAGAGCCCAAAAACTTAGTGTAAAGCATAAACGAATACTGGTATAGTAATTAAAAATTATTTTGCAAAATTTTCGAAATGCAAAACACAAAGTATGTACCTCCAAAAATGATTAACCATTTCAGCAACCAGACCCTTTCCATTTCACAAGACCCAAGCTTAGTTTGGTAAAACCGGAATGTCAGTATTCTTGGTTGACGGCTACCATTCTTATGGCATTTAACGAGGCCTTCACCCTGGATGCCTGCAGGAAACCTTAAAAGAGAAAAAAGTACACCGCAGGACAAGAGACTTGACTAAATAGTTAGCAAAGCGTCCGGATGAGCATTAAAAACCTGACGGTCATAGATAGAAGATTGGTGAAACCATTCAGTAAATGCATTCAAAAGTAAACTTTTCACAAACTAGTAATCTATTAATTGGTACTTTCATGTTACACACACAAAAACATTATGGTGTCATTATTTTTTTTAACAAGTATCTCTCCATTTTTTCTTGTCAGCTTTAATTTAACATAGTGCTTAATAGTGCTTATTTATGCTTGATAAAAATAAGGATGCAAATGGCATATAATTTGCTGGAGTATTGTTCAATTAGTTTTTCTCGATAAATCAACTATTAAAAAATAATTTAATATCTTAATACTCCAATATTTAATCAACTTAAAATTGAAGAGTATTGAATCATATTTTTTTTTAANTAACATAGTGCTTAGTAGTGCTCATTTATGCTTAATAAAAATAAGCATGCAAATGGCATATAATTTGCTGGAGTATTGTTCAATTAGTTTTTCTCGATAAATCAACTATTAAAAAATAATTTAATATCTTAATACTCCAATATTTAATCAACTTAAAATTGAAGAGTATTGAATCATATTTTTTTTTAAACTTAATATTGCATCTATCAAATACTTTTATTAATACTAAACTAAAATTTCATCTACATGCATTTTTAAAAATGATATCTTATCTGATGTATTGAGCTTGAAAAAAAATTCAGATTTAGCATAAGCTTTGTTATTAATTCCCTGCATTAATTCTTTTGCAGCACCTGGACCTGTTGCTTATTTCGATGCATTTCCTTTGGGAGCCAACGCATTATATCTCATCTGGAAGAGGCCTGCAGAACCAAACGGCATTCTCACTGGTTACAATATATATTATCGTGAAGGTTTGTTTCTATATATTGAAGGTTTTAATTCCGTTACTTTTATTGAAATAAATTTATTTAAAATTTTCAAGATTTTTTATGCATACACACTGAACTATTTATAGTTTATCGTAATTTAAAAATGTCAGAGTGTTAGAAAAAATATAAATTACTCTTGAATTTTCTGTTAAAATTTAATTGTTAATTCAAATATTTTGAATTTACAATAATTTTAACATAGCTGCTAACTTTACTGGATTTTCCAGTAGACTACTAGATTTTGCCAGTTTCTCCTAGTCTACTGTTAAAAATTCTGGTTTTTGTGCATTTTAGGAATTACCCTAAAAATGAGTAAGTTTCCTAAAAAAATTCCCTGTTAAAATTGAAATTTTTATATAAATATTATTAATGTATAATGGTTAAGTTAATTATTAATAAATATTATTAATATATACTACTATATATAAAGCCTCAATTATAGAAATCAGTTTATAAATATTTTTGCTCTAAAATGTTCAGTTTATTTTTTTCGGAACTCCATTTTTTACTTGATTAAAAAAATATTTTAACTAATGATGAATTAAATATCTATTAATTACTATAAAAAATATGAGTTTTTCTATTTTGATGACTATAAAAATCCAGAAAATTTCCTAGGTGTAAAATATTTAGTACATTTTGTAATAATTATCATGAAATTTATGTTTCATAGAATCTACTGAACTTTTCCCTATCTATGTTGGCAGCTATGCTTTTAACAATTGTTTTTAGCAATTCAAAGTCTGAGATGGAAAATAAAAAAAATTTCCAATTTTAAAAAGTAGATTTTTTCTTTAAAATAGCAATACTAAGTAAACTAGATTTACAAAATGCGAGGATAATAAAGCTTAGTTGCCAATTTTTGCTTAATGTGTTTGTTCTTGTTGTAAGTGGGGTTATTATCACCGTAACGGTAAATGACCTGCTTATTAAATAATAAAGCTGTGAAGTAGTAAAGTTGTAATTGTTGACAGAATCGGAAACAATTCTTGAACTGACTGGTATTTTCTCAGCCTTACTAATCAACCTGGTTGCAGAAATCTTCTAGCACGGCAGCAAGCTCTGCAGATTTATTAGAGCATCTTCAGATTGTTTTTAAGGAGAAACAATATTACTGTAAAGAGAAACAGAAAATCATTTTTTTAAAAACTTTTACACTAATGTTTGCTTAAAGTTCTTTAACTTTGTTTGGCAATATGCAGATATATGAGGGGAAAAAAAGTTCTGGTTTTCAAAAATTCTAAATTATGTTCTACAATTATTATATAATGTTCTTCAATTATTCCACTATTAAAAGTTTAGAAATTTTTTTTCTAATAAAAATGAGAAATTAACAACCTTTACTAATGTTTAGTTTTTGTCTACGTTAAAAACAGATATCTCAAGCAACCAAAGCTTTTCTTAACAATGTTGCACTTCTTTTCAATTTATTTTTATTTATTTATTTAGTTGTGTCCTTTGGTATTTCCTTTTTTTCTCTATATTTCTAGCATTTTCTTGCTCAATTTTTGCTTTTTAATCTTATGTCCATTTTGAATTTTTTAAAATAAAAAAATTGTATTCAATATGGATTTCAAAATTGCGTACATTTATAAATGCATTAATTTTTTATTTATTTATTTTTTCAATTTCAGTTAGTGGAACTGAATTGGGCGAGATAAAAGAAAGAAAACCTCAAATAACAGATCCAAGCGAGACTAGAGAAAAGCTTGCTAACTTAAAGCCAAAGACGAAGTATCGAATTGATATCTATGCTACGACTAAAGTTGGAGAGGGTGAAAAAATGTATATTGAAGTAGAGACTAAGGACAATGTAGCTCGCCGTAAGTATTATATAAATCAATATTATACTTTTATTTTGTAAAGATATTTTAAAAATTTATTCTTAATTTTTAAAATTATCAGTCAACTCAGTTTTAATAATATTTCCCATTCCTCTAACAAGGTCCTGTTGCAGAATTTTTTGGAGCTATCTGCGACAAAACTCTCTGGGACTAATATCTTTCTACAAGATACTTTTAATAATAACAAAAATGCTGTGTTGACAAAGCAAAAAAAAACTCTTTGAAATTTTTTTAATTAAACATGTAATAATTTTTTATTCTAAATATTATAAGTGATTTTGTTGGGGGTAAAAACAAGCTAATTATTTCCTTCTTTGCATCTTGTATATAATCATCACAGTAAAAAAATAATTAAAAATCATTAAACGTTTCTTACCTTCTTCCTTCTCGCTCTCGTGAAAATGACGGGGTGAAGTTTTGCCCTCTATTTGTCGCTCCCGTGGTATTCCTGGGTTGTAGTGTTCAGTAGTAATGTGCAATGGGAATAAAATTAATTCATTTCTTTTGCACGGAAAATATTTAATTTCTCATTTTACACACCAGATGGCAGTACCAGAATATTTTTAAGGTAATTGTAGATAGTTGGTTTATTTTAAACTAGATGTCAGCACTAATCAAATGTGGATAAAAAAAATATAGGCACTTTTATGACCGTTTTCTTGAAAATTAACTGAACGTTAATGCTTTAAAAATATGTTATAAAAACTGACAGACATAATGACTGCCTGAGTATCATTCTAGACTTTTTTTAATAGTTTAAACCAGTTTTTGGTATCATAAACCCAACTCCAGAATAGATTTATGGAGTGCTCCTTACATTTTTTTTTCAGATCCTGATGAACCTCACTTTGTGTGGAGTCATTTACCTGATGTTGATGGCAAAGCTGGCGTGCGAGTCATATGGGTGCCGGCTGTCGAAGGACACCCTGGAAGTTTTTTCTTTGTTCGATACAAAAAGAAAGGTAGGGATCGTTGTTTTTTTAAAAATGAAATTTTTACTTACTCCTTCCCTTCAAATTAACTGATATTCTTTTTCATTTTAATTCTATCAGATGACACTGCATGGGAAAGCACACTGCCTGAGAAGAACCAAGATTCCATCCTAGTCACTGGTTTAGAGTTAGGCTCCCTTTACGAAATGCAAGTGGTTGCTGTTGATGGGGAATATCAAACACCCAGCAAAATAGAAGAGTTTGAAACAGGAGGAATGGGTACTTCTTTTTTATTCTTTTGGGCATGCTGTTTTGTTTTCCGAAAGATTTTTTATTCCGTTAAAATAGTAAGAGGGATTTTTTGTGTTAAAGTTGAAATTTATGAAGCATGTTTACCACTTTTATAAGGCTGTGGGAAGTATACTTTCTACGAACTTCTTTAATTTTTAAACGTTGATGGGAAGCAATTTTCCCACTTATGGTTTGCATACATTCCAAGTCTCCTGTATTTTACTACTATCTCCTGTTTACCTGTATATTCTCAAATCTTTCCTTATTTGTTGAACTTTAAAAAAAGGTAATAAAATATTCATTGATAACAAAAATACTTCTCTTATTCCTCAACAGATGGTGCTATTGCCATTACTGCAGCATGTTGAGTATTAATAGTTTAAGTCGAGCCGTGATGGCTCAGGCAATCGAGCGTTCTCCTTCCAATGAGGTGAACCCAGGTTCAAATCCCAGCAATGACTGGTCGATACGAATTCCTCATCCGGCTTGCACCGGCCACAGTGCCGACGTGAAATATCTCCAGTGGTAGATGGATCATGGGTTAGAGTCCCCTTATAGTGAGGCTAACCATGGGAGATTTTCGTGGTTTTCCTCTCCACGCAACTCTAATGTGGGTTAGTTCAATAAAAAAGTCCTCCATGAAGTGAATTTCTCCCAAGACTTGATCCAGGTATTCCCTTGTCTTCTGTATTGGGTTCAAAATTACCAGACTACGGAGTTGAACATCCGTAGTCGTAAACCCAAAATTTGGGCGGTTAGTAAAATCTCCGTTATTTTATTTCTTCAATGTTGGCAGGTATGGGTTTGTGTGGCCATTTGCTGATAACATCTAAAAAAAAAGAACAAAAATTGGAAAGGCTTTGTTTACATAAATGTAGGTAACGGTTAAGGTTATTTGGGGTCAAAAATAGAGGAGAGTTATTTTCGCTCGTGTGTTAAGCTTTCATTCATTTTATCATTTCTTATTCAGTTTACTATTAGTTACAAATATAGAATTTATAAATTCAATAATTTGCAAGCACAGAAGTTGCAGTACCTTACTGAAGGTAAAAATTTTTAAAACCTTATCCACTTTCCCTTAAAGAAAATGGTTATAAAAAAGTACTTTAAGGTTATAATCTATAAGAATTTCTTTCTATAAATTAACCACAATCCCAGTAGTATTTTATTAAACATTACATATCTAGAGGAAATTGCCCTATAAAGAGTTAAAACACAGTAACAATATTTAGATGACAGTAAAAGTTAATAAATTATTGAGTTACAATTATTTAAAAATGTGATGTTGCTGTATAATCATTCAGGGTGCGTAGTGTTTTTAGAAAGGGTTTAAAAATATGCTTATTTTTCATTTATGTTTTTTAAAAGCCCTTAAAGGTGTTTTTTATTCGGGGTTAATTTTTTATGTGTTAAAAAGAGATTTTTTTTTTTTTTTTTTTTTTTTTTTTTTTTTTTTTTTTTTTTTTTTNAAATCATTTTCACAATTTTCTCTGCAATATTTATCAGAAATTAGTAATTTTATCATCATTCATTGTGTAAAGTTTTTGAAAATGTTTTTGAATTTTATTTATTTTATGTTTATAAATTAAGAACTTTAAACGATAGGNAATTTTTCTCTGCAATATTTATCATAAGCTAGTAATTTTATCATCATTATGTAAAGTTTTTGAAAATGTTTTTGAATTTTATTGATTTTATGTTTATAAATTGAGAACTTTAAACGGTAGGAATTTTTTTTTATTAATGCACTGATCCTAATTATGATTTTTTTTTTTTTTTGGAAAATGATTAAAAATATTTTTTGAGTGCTTAAAAAGTACTTTAAAGGTGCTTATTTTTTGTTTAAAAATCTGGCTGCGCACTAATGAAACTCTCCCAGAAATCAGGTCACTTAAAGTGAGATTATTTAACAAAATTAGAGATTAAGTTGAGAGATAAATGCTGACTAATGGAATTTTTAACATTATGAATTTTAAACACTTGTTTCTGCGAAATGACTGAATATAAGATCAACTGATATACCTGAAAGAATATTAATTTTTTTAAAAAAATTAACTGAACTTTAGACAAAGTTTTATTATATTTATGTTAGTCTGCTTTTTAGACAAGTATAATGAATTTTTGTCGTATTGATAGACTTGTTTATTCATTGCAGCTGCTGTTCAGGCACCTGAAACAGCTGAAAGTTTTGCCACTGCCGCATGGTTCATAGGGATGATGTGTGCTATTGCCTTACTGCTGCTACTGCTAATCATTATTTGTTTGATCAAGAGAAACCGTGGTGGAAAATATTCTGTCCATGAAAAAGAAGCTGCACAAGGACGTGACTTGGAGTATGCTGATGATGGTGGATTTAATGAATACACTAAAGCAGCGTGAGTTTTCCATTTTTCTTCTGAAGTTACACTTTATGTCTGGGAAAATTCTTATATTTATGCGATCTAATTCTTTATTTATCAACTGGGTCGTAGTGGCTGAGGGGATAGAGTGTTCGACTTCCAATGAGATGAACCGGGTTCGAATCCCAACAATGGTTGGTCGATACGAATTCTTCAACTGGCTTGCACCGACAACAGTGCTGACGTAAAATATCCTCAGTGGTAGACAAATCATGGGTTGGAGTCCCCTTGCTGTTAGGCTAGCCCTGGAAAGTTTTCATGATTTTCCTAATAAAAGAATTTCGTAAAAGTCTACATGTTTCAAGCACTCAAAAATAATTACTCTCAAGACTTGCCAGAGGTGAAACAAAAGTGAAGGAATGGAATAATTGAATAAATTTTGTTCTGAAGAAACAAAAGCGATTTGAAATAGAAAATGTAATATTGCCATCGAAATATGGAATGTAAGTGTAAGAAACAAAACTTGAAAAATCTCAGTAGTTGAGAGGGAAACCAATAATCAAGAGAATAAAACAGCAAAGGCGGTGAGGAACTAATGTTGTTAACTAGGAAATCAGCATTCATATGAATGAAACAAGATTCCAGGTCATCAAGATGAACGGAAGTTACTGGGGTGTTAATAACTTGGCATTGTCGAAATTAAATTTATGCTCAACGTTTCCACAATTGATTGTTTATGATATTGATAACAGACATATCTATCATGTTTTTTAAGTCTGTATTTGAAAGTGCTGCAGATTAGTTGGATGTAACTAGGATCAGACTGGCAAGGAATGTGGTGAATACTCCAGTGATTTTCAAGACCAATAGGATCTTTAAGAAACTTAAATTTAACCTTCCTACTTGGTTCAAAAAATTACTTTAAAACCAAAATTGGAAAGAAGATTAGCAATTTTATGACAAACAGAAGAAAAAAGAACTGAAATAACAAGTTCAATGTAAGGATTCGAAGAATAGAGGAGTTGAGGTGTAAGGAATTTATAAAGAGGACACCATACCACGGAAGAAAATTTTCGTCGCAAATTATCTTTCTCCTTCATTACTAATTTAAAAGAAAGAAAAAGCAAGTTCAGGCAAACCTAGAGTATGTCATGAAGTTTCAATAGCTGAAAAAAATACTTCAAAATATTAAAATGCAAACAAATTATTAGAAGAGAACTTTTCCGTTGTGCATTTGTATATTTTGAAATTTTCTTTTCAGTATTTGAAACTTTATGGCTTAACCTAGACTCACTTTTTTTAGACTTTAAATTTTAAATAAGTTATGAAGGAGAAATAGTTTTCTTCCCCGGTATGGCGTTTTCTTAAAAGTTGAATCTACTAGGATTTAGCCCTTCTATTGTTGATTCAGCTCCTACTATTTTATAGTTTTCTTCTCCTATTTGTTATGAATCCTTTCCTATTATGACTTGAAGGCCTGTTAACAAAATTAAATTCAAGTCTGTTAAAGATCCTATTGGTTTTGAAAACCGTTGGAGAATTTACCCAACACCTTACCAGTAAAATACCTTGGATTCATTGAACAAATCAGACACACTTTGAAAGTTACTTATGGAAGGTGATAGATATGTCCCTTATCAAGATTACGATGAATCATAAATTGCTGCACATTGTTGGAATCTTGGGCATAAACTTGATTTCAACAATGCCAAAATTGTTTCCACCCAAGTCACATCATCTTATATTGATGTTTTGGAATCTTGTTTCAGTCATATGAATCCTGATTCCCTTGTTAACGGCATTAGTTCTTCACACCTCTTCATAGTACGTGGAATTACCCTGATTAGCCCCTCGCAGTAGATTTTCTTGATGCTTATTTTATCGTTATTTTCTATGTTTCGTTTTATTTCCTTCTACATATTTTTGAAGCCAATGAAGTTTTTCAATCTAGCAATGTAAAATGCTTAAGTGCATTTACTATACATTATTAGGGTATAGTTAAATGTTGATTTGCCACTATAATTGATTATATTACATTTTCAAGGTGGTGACAATACAAAAAAGTCGTATAGGCGGGAAAATGTCAGAAAATTTTGCTGTGATACCCATTAGGTCAGGGGAAAAAAATTTATTTGAGTTTAAGGTTCCAATAGTGTTTTTTTTTTTTTATATAGAAAGGCTACCCTGATTTTGTTTCACTGCTTTTGATTTCCTCATGTTCTTTGATTATGCTTATAATGTTATGCTATATTGAATCATAAGTATTGAAAAGTACCAATTTATCCAATATTATCAGGGAGGGTTGGGATAGCTTGGTTGGTAGGGCACTGGGACCATGTCGATTCCCGCCTGCTAAAGACTTCCAGTGTAGTAAATGGTGACTGATGCGCATTAAATCTGTCAGGTCACAAAGTCCTCCATGTTTCCATAACAAATTAATACCTCTGGGGGTACTGATCCAGGACCTCCCTTGTCTTCTGGATTGGAATCAAAATTAGGAAATCACAAGGACCAAAATTACGGAGTTTAACATTAGTAGTCATGAACCCAGAATCAGGTCGGCTGTTCAACAACAGTTATAAAATTAAATAAAAATATCATCAGGAATAATTGTGTTGAATTTTTTTTTCCTGTTTGTAGGACTGATGTCCCAGACCGAACCAGTGGGAGTCGAACATCCCTCAATAGCAGCGTCAAAGGACCCGAGAGTGAGACAGACAGTATGGTGGAATACGGAGAAGGAGAAGCCAGTAAGTTCAATGAGGACGGTTCCTTCATTGGTCAGTATGGATCAAAGAAGAAAACGGAGGACTCTGCTTCTCCATCCGCCCTTGCCACATTTGTTTAGCCCTTTTATTTAATTAAGTACGAAGCAGATGATGGACTCAGAAAATCTGCTAATCAATCTTTTTTTTATTTTAAAATGCTCTATTTATTTGCCTAATATATGCCTATATTAGTTTAGTTACTTGCAACAAAAAAAAAGCCGAAATTAAGGGTGTTCTTGTCTGAGAAGTGGAAAATATTTTCACTTGGTTTTCTAAATTTTCCTATTATATAAAAGTGATAGACATGGTGTCGGATAGGAATGTGACATTTTTTCAAATGAAGATATATAGCTTTTTCTTTTTTTTCTCTTCTTTTTGCATTTAGCAACTTCATTCATATTCCGTAAGAGGACAACTCTTGTGGGACAAGCCCTTCATAACCAATTCTCTTTTACCTACATAGGTAATTTAAAATTAGATGTATAAAAAAAAAATGAATTAAGGTCAGGGTTGCCACTCCACATTGAGAATAGGGAAAACCTGGAAAATGCAGGGAATTTTAAAATCATCTAAAATAACAGGGAATTTTGATTTTTTCCTTGCAAACTAAAAAAAAACAAACAGGTAATTTTTGTCTTTTAAAAAAATGCAGACTTCTCAAAGGCAATCTATATAAAGATGATTGTTCAGCTATATTAAATTATTTAATTTATTATAGCACTATTTCTTTTATGTTGAGGTGTTCCTTATTTCTCCAAGTTTTTCTAGCAACTGAAACTAGCATGGTTATCCTAGTATAACACGCAAGTGAATGTGTGTTTCCTCATAATATATTGTGTATAATATGTGCAGGGAAAACACAGGGAATTTTTTTTGAGAGATGGGTGTTTCAACCCTGTAATAATATTCTTAATATAATGGTATGTGATATCGTTATTTTACTGTAAATTGTCAGTTTCTTTTTTCAAGGTGAGTGAAAAATAATTGATAATTATGTTTTTAGAAATGTTAATATTCCTATCTGACACCTAGTAGTTATATATATACATATACTTAAGTAAACCACTTTTTACACATTTAAGCAAAATAATTTTTATTTTTTAAAGGAGATGCGTATAGTTATTTGAAGCATTGTGGTGGGAGCTCTTTTAGTGGTGAAATGGGATGAAAGCAGTACCTTTAAATCTTTTTTACAATAAATATTTCAGCTAATCTCAGATTATGTTGGCGTTAAGTTTTAATTTTATTTGCCAAAAAAAAATTTATTTTTTTTTACTTGTTTGACAAAAAAATATTTTGCCATGTAAGCCTTTTATGAAAGTTCCATTTATAATTCATATTGTTAATGTATGTTATTTTAGCCTCTTAAATTTTCGTTTTCATTGAGTTAATGTAGTAACAACATTATTATTATCAAGGGATATGCTTGAATGAGAATGAATTTTTTTTTGTGTTCTTAATTAATAAATCGTTAACTATTGTTTATCGATTTAAATAATAACTAATAATTCTAAGACCAAGGGATATGTGTGCTTTTCATCATCTTCCTGAAAAATATTTTTTAACTAAGACTTTATATGACTTGGGCAACTTGAATTTTTTGAAGGCGAAAATAAACATTTTTAAACGTAAAATTTTGCACTTTCAGATGGTGCTTGCCTTGAAATTTCACATTGTAAAAAAAAAAAAAAGTTTTTAGTCACTTGTTTACAGTTAGGAATATGAATGACTTTTATCTCTGTCAAAATGTTTTAAATGTACTGCCTTTCCTTAATAATTAGCGCTTGTATGCAAACTTCAAATCATGTGATAATGCTGCTTTTATTCTATGTACAGGCTGATAACTTTTAGCTTTTCACTTAAGCTGCAAATCAAAAATCCACTTTATATCGTAGAATTGTCTGTGGCTTTGTGGGGTGAATGACTAATTTATGTAATTATATTCTGTAGAATAGAGTGAATTTTTTTATATATATATATCATTACCTGTGAGCAGATTCACTGTGCATCCTATATAATGACTCGAAGAAAGTTTGTTTTATATCTGCATTCTACTCAGATGTGATTTAATGTTTACCCTCATTAATGTTAGTAGAAATGGGGGTGCCAACAGAAGTGCCAGGGTAGATTTTCCGGGGTGCCTCAGGATTTTATACCCAAACTGTGAAAAATCTTCCAGATTTTCTTCTTTTACTGTTTAATTAATGAACAATATGTTTTCTGTCAATTCTCTCTTTTTTTTTGTTTCCTTCTTGAAAAATTTTCTGAGCCAGTTAGTTATATTGAAAATTTCTCTCACCTATTTATGTAATTAATAATTATTAACAAATTTGCCTCATACAGAGAAGTGTGAAGTAGACTTATATGGCCATAAAATATTTTTATTATCAGAAATTAAAATATTGTGAAACCTATTAATTAAAATAAAAATCGATTTAACAATAAGTTAATGTGAAATTCATAATAGTTATTAACAAATTTGCCTCATAAGAGAAGGTGGAAGTAGACTTTTATCGTCAAGATATATTTTTATTCTCAGAAATTAAAATATTTCGGAACCTATTCATTAAAATAAAAATTGATTTAATAAGTTGATGTTTAAATTTGTAATGAAATTATTTTTAAATCCAAGCACATAGCTTAATTTAGTTCAAGGAAGAACTTATTGACATTGATAACAATTTTGCTATAATGCTAAGAAATGTAAAACAATTAAGGGAAACAGAATATTTCTGCTCATTTAACCAATGATGCAACTTGGTTTAACTATCATCGAATAATCCGAATTTCATTTTATTCAATTTTACTGCATTGAAAATAGATTGTTTTGCAGGATTTGTATTAGAGAATAATAATTATACTAACTCTCTGAATTCAGTGTTAAAGTTTATGTTTTTGTCAGAAATGACAATTTAGGTCTAATCTCATTCAAATTTTTTAACAGCAAATTTGTATAAAAATAATGTTATAAGTTTTTTTTAAAAAATTTTTTGTTGCTTAATTGAGCCTGAGTTGCTCAATTATTTTAGAGAAATAAAAAGTTTAATTCCATATAACATCTGTCATGTTTTAATGAATTAAGAATATAGTTTCGACTTTCAGTAAGTGAGCATAGATCTTGTTAATAGTTTAAACTAGTTGGGGACTGTTTGTGTATGTTGGCATCCCTTGTAGTAAAATGGAAAAAATTTAAAAAACTGGCAATTATAAATTTCTCTTGTATAGGAGTAGTTAAAAATACATAATTTTTTTTTTATCTCATATACATTGTTTCATTAGTTATTTAATGTTCCTTAAAATGATTTTTATTTGAAGTCAACACCCTTTAACTATTACATGCACATGTATTACAACAAAAATGAAAATTAAATAAATTAGAAGATCTGCTCCATTATATGTGCCTGCCAAATACATTTTGGAAAGCAATTTTCATAGATTGCATTTGTTTGTGCTTTGTAATTGCTATAGATAATTAAAGTATTTTACTTCAATGAAAAAAAAAGTATTTATTGAATAATATTCCCCTTAACTGGGTTGCTTAAATTTATTTATACTGATTTGCTAGTTATGTGATCGATTCATTTTTTCCATTTATTTATTATTTTTCAAAATATGTAATACTCATTTATATTTTTCATCCTTTGTAAATTTTTTATGATTTATATTGTTAGAAAAGCTAGTTTTATCTAAATTTATTTGTATTTTTAATTTTTATACCTAATTCTTATTCTGGTTGTGATATGAGTAAATTAGTGATTTTTTTGAAGGAAAAAAAATGTTTGGTGCTTTTTTAGTTAAAAATAGCTTTTTAAATTGCTTCAACATAATATGCACAAAATGTTCTTTTGGTAAGTCTAATTTGTTACTTTCAAGTGAAATAGGAAGATTCTTTTAATTTTTTGATATTTAAAAGTTCAATATTCTCTAGTAAATATAACCAATCAATTATATCGGGAATATTTTATCCTATGTAGATTAAACTTTTTTTTAAAAAAAGAAATAAATTACACCCAACATAAGTTGTAATGTCTGATATAATTGAGAAAAATAATTTAATTGTATTATTTGAATACAGACTGATATGAAAGCTACAAATTTACTCTAATTTGTTTATAGGCACCTTTACAGTGCAATCATTCTCATGAAAATATGCTTTTCCATCTTTTTCATGATCACATTTATTATGTTTAAAAACCGAGATTATGTTTGTGATTTATGCACTCATTTGTATATACTTTGCATTGTTGCATCATTTTATATCTACTATTCCATAATTTATTTTTGTAGTAAATTATATGTAGCTAGCTTTACACGTTATTTTGAATGCAGAGCATTCATTTTGCTACATATACCTTTAGTAGCCATAGTTATTGTATATAGATATGTGCCTGGTGCAGTTTTTTTTAATTTATTTTTTTATGTGAAGTTCATAATTTTGTGCACAGAGATTCTCTTTAGGCTGATTATGTTCTCATAATTATTTTGTTTTATTGAAATTGTCATTTTCTTTCTTTTGTTTTGGATTAAAATTCAAAAACTGCGCATATTTTCTGATTAACTTAACTTATAATGAACAATTAGAGTGGACTGACGAATGTGCGTGTATATTTAAAAATTTTATGCAAACAGTAAATATTTCATAATAGTTTATTCCGTTGGTTAACTTTAGTTTTTCAAGATTGTCTAGCAGACACTGTCCACTTTATTTTATTAACATCAGGATGTTATTGTTGCATTATTTAATCTTTGTATTTAAAAAGCCTATATATTTTTACTGTTGTTAAAACCTTATAGCTTAATAAAATATAGTAATAGTAAACCATTAGTTCTAGCTATATTATTGTAATATGTAATAATACGGATTTCTGTTCGGTGAATATTTTTCTGCTGCATTACTTTACATTTGCTTAAAAGAAATTATTAAAAAGTATACATATTTTAGTAAATAATATTTTTATAATTAATTTTCATGTAAGAAATAAAATAAAATTCACATTTTTGAGGAACTTTGTTTTTTTTTATGAAGGTGATAAAAATTAAACAGTAGCCATTAAAGAGGTTTAAGTTCATTAGATCCATTAAAGTTAAAGGTGGCCTAGCAGGTCAAAGAGTTAATTGTAGAGTTAAATAAAAAGTTAATAGTCATGTTTTATATCAACCATTAAGGAGACTATTTGGCCTTTTATAAATATCCTAAAGTAGCCCAATATGCAATTGTCGTATTTAAATAAAAATATGAAGCTTACTGGTGCGAGATGTTTGGAATGCTTATTCAATTTATTATAGATTGTCTGTTGGTAAATGTTTGATAAATTAAATAAAAATTAAATTGCTTGTAAAAGAATTGCGTACATTCTATCATTGCATAGTTATAATTTATTCTCCAAATTTAAGAAAATTTATTTATAGTTTCTGAAAAAGGTTGTGCAAATATTAATTGTATAAATTGTTTTATCAATAATCAGCCTAATTGTTCTTGTTTTGTTTATTTTATGTTCTTTTTTGAATCTCAGCACCATTTGATGGTTTTTGTTAGTTAAAAATAAACTGTGTTTTATTCTGTGTTGTGTTATAATTTTCATGTGTTTAACTGCCATATGTAGATCTGATTTTGAAACTTAATTTCAAATTTTTCTTAAAGCATTCACAGCTACTTTTTTTTAAATTAGAAAAAGCGAATCTCAGTTTTCGTATTTCATACAGTTTTTTTATCTGCTGTAAATGAAGTAGTTTTTTTTAATATCATTTTAAAAGAAAAAGTTTTAAATGAACCAAAAGCATTAAGGTAAATTAAATAATTATTCAAATTTTGCACATTTTCTTTATATTTAATTTTTTTTATTTTATTTTTATTGTATCATCATGTAAGTATGAAAGCTCCAAATTAGCCGAAGTATAACATTTAATATGCAGAATTATATTGCATTAAGTTCAACTTTTATTTGGCAATTTTAGTTTATTTTTCTCGTCTGTGTTTTACGAGTTTTATATTTTATAAAAACGAAATTATTGACTTTCATGTATATTAGTCACTGTAAATTATTGTAATTCAATACAATAAGTTCCTATTACCCAATTAACTAAAAGTATTTTGAACAAAATTTAAATTATATAAGGAATGATAGGTGATATGTAAATTTATCTACTTTGTTTAGTGACTTAGGCAGCTGTGAGAAGGTTTAACAAACTCAGATATATTTTGAAATTAAGAAAAACTTAGTCACAATTTTTATTTTATTGTTGATTTTTTTCTAATTGTTATTTTGTTAAAATTGAAATGACTATGTATGGGTTATTATTTTTTCAAACTGTTTGGTAATAAAACAGGAAACAAAAGAGGAAGAGGGGGGTGTGCATTTGTAAAAATGTACTAAATTGCATTACGTTTGGTTAATGTATGTGTCTGTGCAGCTTCTTAGTGTATTTATCATACCTGTTTTTAATGCTGTGAATTGATCTGATTTCATATTTGTTTTATTCATTGTGCACTCTTAATGAAAATAAAATATATAAAAATTTACAGAAACCAATTGTTTGTGAATTATTTTTCTTATTACAAAGATGAGTTTTTTCAGTTTTTTTGGCAAAATTCTGCTTTTTTTTTTAAAATTTAATTTTTAGAAAAAATTCCGCTTCTCTAAGAAAATTGTGCTTTTTTTCCGCATTGAAATATAATTAGTTTTTTACGCATTTTCGTTCCTATGTAAACACGATTCAAAATTGCATTTACTGGATTTAAAAATCATATCGCAATTGAATATTCACGAAATTTTAAATTACATTTCAACCATTTTAATTAAAAACATTAACTATTTTATTTACAATATTGTTTTTAGATATTATTAAGTATTATTAATCCTTTTTTATCAGATCTATAATTGAAAAATGTAAAGAATAGAAAAATCTAATTTTAATGAGACAAAAATCAAATTTTTATTATTTTTTTTTTTTTAAAAATTTCACAATTTTCGCCAACCCTGATTCGAATCTGAGAAATATATAAGAAACCTAACAATAACCTGATATTATTTCTCCACTCCGAGTCTGTCAAAGAGCTATAAATTGTACACTATTTAATACTTTGAAGTGTGTTTTTCAGCATTATGATTACTTGGCTATCGCAATTATTGGCATTCACAGATCATCATTAATTATAATCATAAATTATTGTTTGTCATCATGAATTGTGACAGCCTGGATTAATTGCAGGATTAATTACTTGCAATTAATTACAGAACTAATTACTTGCAATTAAGATTCCAAGTAATTAAAACTTCATAAGGCAGTGGGAAGTATATTTACCAGCGACTTCATTAATTTTCAACTGGCGATGGGTAGCTATATTTTCATTTTGAATCCGCTGATAACTCAAAAAACAATAAAGGGTTTCATTCGCATAAATTTAAGTTACATTAAAGGTTAGCGTGCGGTCAAGAAGAGAAGTCAACACATGGGATCAATTTTCTCTTGTGCTTTATTGCGTTTGTTCACTTGCCTTTTTCTCATCAAGTTTATTGGTAGTTATTAACACAAAATATTTAAAAACCGGTTATTTATAAGTACAGAGGTTCAAGTGTTTGGGTATTTTTTTTTTAGATTTGGAAACATTTTATAAATACCTCCCACAAAAAAAGTGTCTTAACCATCAAATTAATTTTAAGTCGTAAGCCTAAAAAAGAGTTTCTTTTTATAAATCAATCTTAATCCCTAAAATGTTTTAACTTTACGTTACTCGAAAAAAATAATCATATAAAAGGTTAATTACTATAAATTAACAACATTTTAATATTCACACAAATTTATTGTGAAATAATTCCTCAGTTTTCACAAAGAAAGAAAAATATTAAAATAACGTTTTAAATACCACCACGTTAAAAGCGATGCAACACTCATATTATTTAGCATTCATAAACAAAAGATATAAATATGAAATGAGAATGAATGATTGTTGTTTGTTGTTTACGTTTTGAGAAAAATGAATGCGTAAAAATGTCTAATCATATTCATCCGACTGTTACGTGTTGTGAGGGTTACGACCCCAATTGTGCCCAGAAGGTGATGGTTTACTGGGTGAGGGTCATCGCTTTCTCGCCTTGACCGCACATCACTTTAGAATCTTCGTTGCACGCAGTTACGTTCTAGCAACCGTTAATCAGCATTAACGAATTATTCCTACCATTAAAGTTAAAAAGAAGAGTTTTCTTTTCATGCAATTTATTTTATTGTGCAAAAGTTATAGATTTAGAAATTCGGAATTTCATATTTTGAGTACAATTTAATTTTGACTTTTCTTACGAATTTTTTTTAGATTTACCTAATATACTAATTAAGGTACCTAGTATAGGTTTTTTTAATTATTATTTTTGGAGTTGAGTGCGAAATTAAGATTATCTCATCCTGATTATTAATTTCTTTGACTATATTTTATTACCTAAAAAATGCACCGTGCGATTCTTGATTTTGTTGATGTGGGCTTTTGGCACAAAATGTTAAGCAAGATAGTCACGACCGAAACTCTGGAGACACAATCGTAACAAAGTAACACCACTGAAGCACGAAAGGTTCGAATCCTGGTCACGGCAATGGTCACGAATCCTGGTCCACATTCGAATCCTGGTCACGGTTCATCGAATGAGCCTTGGTGGCTCAGGGGATGGAACGTTAGCCTTCCAATGAGGAGTACCCGGTTCGAATCCCAGCGAAGACTGGTTGATACGAATTCCGCACCTGGCTTGCACCGATCACAGTGCTGACGTAAAATATCTTCTGTGGTAGACGGATCATGGGTTAGAGTCCCGTTGCCGTCAGGCTAACCGTGGGAGATTTCTCTCTTCATGAAACGCAAATGCGGGTTACTTCCATCAAAAAATCCTCCACGAAGGTAAATTTCTCCCAATAGTGGAGTACCCTTGTCTTCTGGATTGGGTTCAACAAGTCTACGGAGGAACATTAGAAGTCGTAAGCCCAAAATTGGGTCGGCTGTTCAACGACGATTATAAAATAAAATATAAAGTGCAGCACGAAAAGGTCAAGCAATTGCGGACTCTCAGGCAAAAAGGTTCGAGTCACGCACGAGAAGGAGAACCACACATCAGGTCGCTAAGCAAAGGAGGACTGCAGCACTCAAGCACCAAACCAAGGGCCCACATTTCGGCAGTGCCAACTAGCCCGTAAGGCAGACAGCTCCACACCGTTAACCATTGAGTGGACCCAAGCCTGGAATGTTAACGAACCAAAAACTTAATAAAAAGTTAAAATACAATCGAGATTAGTAAAACAATTACATCGAAATAATAAAATTTACAACTGAAAGCATCAAAATACATCATATATTGTGTTCTTTGTTATAACTACTTATATTCTTCCGCTCGCCCACTGCATTGAGGGACTCTATGATTCGTGTCATATCTTAATCAAAATTTTTCATTTCCTCCCTGCAGTTTACGCAAGAACTTCTGTTTTTGCATTCGGCTAACTTGTGTCCATAGCCTGGTTGGTAGGGCACTGGGCCCATGTCCAAGAGTTCATGGGATCGATCCGCTCCGACCGAAGACTCCCCGTGTTGTAAATGGTGACTGATGCACGCTAAATCTGTCGAGTCACAAAGCCCTACATGTTCCCATAACAAATCACACCTCTGGGGGTACTGATCCCGGAGTTTCCTTGTCTTCTGGATTGGTTCAAAATTACAAGGATACAGACTTGAACATTAGTAGTCGTAAACCGAAAATTGGACGGTTGTGAAATTTTTTTTTTTGTGTCCATGCTGGTTGCAGTTATCGCAAGTCTCATCCCTAGCGCAATTTTTTGCTAAGAGGCCCAATCTGTTACATTTGTAACACCTCAGTGGTCTGAAACATTCTTTCACAATTGGGGTTTTCCAACCCAGATTTAATTTAGATCTTATGATTTTTAAGAAGGCTTTAGGTTCTAGTTCCAGTACCCAGTGAAACCCTTATGACTCTTGATTGGAAAGGCCACTTCGAATTCTGTCTCCTCTAATTCCTGGTTTCTCGTCCTTGAAACGATTATGAACAACCATCATCTCATCGGATTGATTTATGATGGGCCAATATTAAAAAAACCAAATTGTTTCGATGGTATATGCGAGAGAACCAACGAGAATTCCCATTAAACCTTCATGGAAATGTATAGTTGGAACCATCACGGATCATCATGGATTGTTGGCTTAGGCAATTGCTCTTTCGGTTCCTCATTAGCAATAGGCTGTTCTATATCAAATAGAATTATCCTAGGGTTTTTCTTCTTCGGTTTTTCACAAACAAGCATTTCATCAAGACCTTTTACTTCAAGTTCATCAGTGAGTTTCTTGATGTCACTTTTCTTTTCGACCTGGAGAACAACGCCTCCATCTCTAATGTTTTTTTTTAAAAATTCTCCTCTGTCGCACAAGAATTTCTTGCCGACCCAATTTTTGGGTTTACGACTCCTAATGTTCAACTACAAAGCATTGTAGTTTCGAACCCAGTCCAGAAGACAAGGGAACTTCTGGGTCAAGTATTGGGAGAAATTTGCCTTTGTGGAGGACTTTTTTGATAGAACTAACCCACAGTTGCGTTACATGAAGAGGAAGACCACGAGAATCTCCCACGGTCTAACAATTTTTTCAATGTTTGTCTCTTTGCGCTTTAGTTTCACAATTACCACATGTTTCCTAGTTACTTTTTATTTTATTATTTTTATTTTATAACCGTAATTCAACAGCGAACCCAATTTTTGGGTTCACGACTCCTCATGTTCAACTACGGAGACTTGTAATTTTGAACCAATCCAGAAGACAAGCGAACTCCTGGGTCAAGTGTTTTGAGGAATTTGCCTTTGTGGAAGACTTGTTTGATAGAAGAAATAACCCACAGTTGCGTTACATGAGGAGGAAGACCACGAGAGTCTCCTACGGTTTTCTTGAAGGCAAGGAGATTTGCCTTCAGGAAAACCGTTGATTTGATTTACGGAATCATTTGTGATCAATGATTTTTTGAAACGTCTGAACCTTCAATTTCCGGATTACGGTTAGAGAAAAATCCGGATTTTTTCCGGAGCACTATCAGCCCTGTTTCCCATTTATTGATGGCAACATTACATTTTCTATTTCAAATCGCTTTTGTTTCTTCAGAACAAAATTTATTCAATAATTCTGTTTCTTCACTTTTGTTTCACCTCTGGCAAGCCTCGAGAGTGATTATTTTTCAGTGCTTGAAACATGTCGACTTTTATTACAAATTTCCTTTATTAGGAAAAACATGAAAACCTCCCACGGCAAGCCTAACAGCAAGGGGACTCCAACCCATGATCCGTCTACCACTGAAGATATTTCACGTCAGCACTGTGGTCGATGCAAACCTGATATGGAATTCGTATCGACCAACCATCGTGGGATTCGAACTCGGTTCACCTCATTGGAAGGCGAATGCTCTATACCCTGAGCCATCACTGCTCTACTTGCTTCTTTGGGGTCTCCAACACATTTGCTCATATTAATCGCTTAAAAATGAAATTTAGTTTGTT